CGGATAGCGCACCATGAGGGGAGTTTCGGGTAGCAGGCACTTTTAATCCCTACCCGAATTGCGGTCGACAATTATTAGGTCACAAAAATTTCACCTTATCTAGTAATATAAATTATTATTATTATTCTGTGTAGGGTTTTTTCTACAACTATTTACTTTAGAAACATTTCATTTCCTTATTGATTTTTATTTTTTGTATTATACATTCTTGTTAGGAAATTAACCTTTCATAACTCTATTATCGAGCAGTCGTACAAAATATCCATCTGCTTGGGTTTCTTTGTGTGAATTCCTTTTTTTTTTATTTTTACTCAGTGTATTTGTATTTTTTTCATGGCAAATCATTGAAATACTCTCTTCTTTCGAACCGAAGTTTGTTGCCGAAAAACACATGGATATTTTAGAATGACAGACGCCACTTGGGATGTTTGGAGTAGGTAAGACTTTTATGTATTAGACAATGGCCTGAGTGGTTAATCTTCTGTGAATATATTTATGACCCCGACCATATTGTCACTGGCGATCATTTTCGAAAGTGACTGTAATTAAAAATTATATATTTTGAAAGACGAATTTACATTTTCGCGAAAAGTTGGAGATTATATCCACCTCCAGTAGCGAAAGAAATCCTCAATTGTCAAAAGATAAGTGATTCATTTACATGAAAAAGAACAGAAGAACTGAACTCCAGTGAGAAGCCTTCAATACTGATGTACAGGGAAAATCAGCGACAAAGGACTGGGTTGGATTAAAATACGTCCAGTAGGTACATCCGAAACAACATCAATTATTTCTAAAAATGAAAAATTCTTGTTTGTCAATGATATGGAATTTTACATCGTGATATTCCCATGCAATAAGAACATACAATTCATGTGCAGTCAAAGTACATATTTTAATGATGAAACATTCGACTTTTGCGTTGAATCTTTCATTCAATTGTTAACGACATACGTTTATGTAAACAATATACACGTCAACAATAGTATACAGGGGGACACATTTTGACATATTCACATTTGATATTACTTTCCCTATCGCACCCCCAGAGCATGTCAATATTTTTTTTAAATGGATCACCCTATATTGTTTCGCATTATCAGGTGCTCCATGATAGGCAGTATAAAACATATGGTCTGAAGATTATGGTTCGGGAGCTACAAATCATTTGAGTTGAAAACAGGCCACCCTGAATTACATCTGAAACAATGATTTGCAGGAGAAATAAAATTATACACGAATTCCATAAACTACACCTCACGATTTGATCTCCACAAACTTTATTTGAAAAATATATACCACAACATGTTTCGATAACGCAGTAGCTTTATCAAGTAGCTTATTCAAATCACTTGAGAAAGCTACTGTGTTAGCGAAGTATGTTGCGATATATATTTTTCAAATAAAGTTTGTGGAGATCAAATCGTTGAGGTGTAGTTTTTAAAATTACAATGGATCTTCATCAAGTAACAGCCGAATCAATCAGAAAATTATACAGGAAACCACTTTTTGAAATATTCGTTCTAGAGACAAANATGACAAACATATTTTGAAGTAGAACATTCTCAAGGCTCCCTTGCGATCGAAAATAATAGAAACATAGCTGTTAATAATAACGTAAATGTTATTCCAATAAGCTTCTTAGGAACGTATTATTATTATTATATTGAAGTGATATTAGTTTCATTATGCCATTATTGTATAAACGTTTTACAAGGAAAAAATAGGCGCGGTTTTGAATTTGAAATGATCACATTTAATAATGATAATAATGAATGCTTTTATTGAGGGGTTACTCAGTACAAGAGACACTAACCTAACCTAATGAGTGGCAGAATTCAACATCTGCACATGAAAAATCAAGACAGAAATTGCTCTTCCATCCAACCATTTTCTGCAGCAATGAAAAACAAAAGTGAAGCGATACACTTGAGTATGTAGGTATGTTTAAGTAGGTGAACTGTTTTTTTGAGACTATTTTCTGAAGCATCGAAGTTCATCAGATACTTTTTTAGCCAATATTCTCCAAATGATGTGCGAATTTCATTATTTGAATTGAAAAAATAGTGAAAATGAGCCTAGTCACACTATTTTCTCATATTTGGCCAAGCCAGTTCGGCCCTGTTTATAATTGTTGCTATGTTGACAATGATGCACCTAATGACTACTCAATTAATCAATAATATTTTGATATCAAGGCAGAGAGAAGTAAACAGAGTAAGTAATGCACTTATTTTAAAGAACTTTTTTCATTGATATACTACTTCCATACAAGCTACAATCATAAATCTATTTCGTATATACTCGTATATCGTATTGTTATTGTGACAACTTACTGATAAAACCTCATACAACCACACTCTGTCGAACAACAACACCGAATGATATATTTTTTGAACTGATTAAATATTGTAATGAGTCGGGGTCAAAGTTGCACTTTGAGATATGAAAATAACTCTGTATACAGGCTGAACCAAATCAAATGCGCTACACTGATAACTTTGTAATAATTGGAGTTACGAAATCATTTGAACTAGCGAAGTAGAGGTATTATTTACGTCCATTGAGACGATATAAACAGAAAACTATTCTGTATAAAATAACTCAGTAATTTTCTGTTATACGATGTTCATATCAGTGAAGTGTTTCTTAAAATTTACATTTTTCGAACTCACAGTACATATAATAATAGTTATTTATGTATCAAGGGAATTAGGAGGGCCTTAATTACCGATGGCAAAGTTTGCGTCCTGAGGGCCTTTGGCCCGAGGGACAGCAATTGCCTGAGGTTATTAAGGCTCATTAATTCCCGTGGTACATAGATAATTTTATTTCTGACCGATTTCAATAAAATTTTGTTCATTTTTGAAACGGNGTTTATAAACAAGTAACATAGCAACAACCTAGCAACAAGAAAACTCTACTATAATCAACGGTACCTGATTCAAATATACCGGGAAGGTAATGAATTGGTACATTTTTCCGTTTCAAAAATGAACAAAATTTTATTGAAATCGGTCAGAAATAAAATTATCTATGTACCACGGGAATTAATGAGCCTTAATAACCTCAGGCAATTGCTGTCCCTCGGGCCAGAGGCCCTCGGGACGCAAACTTTGCCATCGGTAATTAAGGCCCTCCTAATTCCCTTGATACATAAATAACTATAATACCATTCAAAAATCTCTTTAGGCTTTGCCAAACAAACATTGAACACCTGGATGGTAAGAAGATTCATGGACTTCTGGCAGAATCTTCCGTGATTGGCTCACTCCAAGGCGTTTATTCACCCTTTGAAGCTTGATACCAAATAGTTGTTGGACTACAGTACGAATGAACTACGATATCTAACATGCTTTCTTACAGGTCACTGTCATTTGAATCATCATATGCGGAGACTCGGACTGTCGGAAGACAGTGTGTGTCGTCTCTGTTTGGAAAATGATGAAACAGCAAAGTACATACTTTGTGCCTGCCCCGCTGGGGACGAATCAGGTTTTTAGAGTTCGGCAGAGCCCACTCACTTTGGACCTGACCTAACCCTAACCCTTCAACCATAATTTCTCATTTGGTCTACATTTATACTTTAAGCGCCGAGTTCTGTTTCATATATGTCATTTTGAAATGATATGCTATAAAAATAGATGAAATTGTTCAGTTTCAGATTTAGACAAGTTTCAAAAGAAAACCAAAGTTGCATAAAATTTGGTCGTGACGAGCTGATTTGAATCGAAATAAGGCTAAGAGAAGAAATGAGAGCCCCAAACTTGGAATAAACAGTTGATTCTTCGAGAGATATGGCGCTCAGGAATAGGATGGAAGGATGAATTGACATCTGCTTTGTTAAAAATATAGTTGGAAGGGCTATCAACTGCTATTGATTTAAACATTCCAAGATGCTATTCTTAGAAAAAAATAGTTTGCTGAAGAAATTGAGCCTCAATACTAGCCAACAATAATTCTGTTCAATAGCTTACTTGCGCCTGCTTTCCCACGAGTCCTTGAATACGATGATGGCCATAACAGAAATGAGAGCACGACCTGAAACACTTTTCGTTCTCCGCTTGGAACTCTAAGTAGCAATAATGGTAGCAAGAATGTATAATTCCTTGGAAGGATAATATTGGAAGACAGAACTGGAATCTCTGACGTAGAATAAATCCAAAACAAGCACTGTTCCCAAATACCAAAACTGCATGCAGTCTCAACTCGACCTGAATTTCACCAACCAAGTTAGTGATGACGTAACCTGCCTAATCTTTTGAAGACGCCAACTTGGTTGGTGAAATGCGCGCCGAAATGAGTGTTGCAGTTTTGGTTTTTGGGAACAGCGTTTTTGAACGGTTTCCTGGCCTGACTCTAGATGTGATTTGAGTTGGATTTGTGGAGATAGCTGACGAATGAAACGATTTGTTGCAGATCGTATGCTTCTTTCTCTGCAGCTTTCACTGTAGGGCAACTAGTAGAAAACTGACGCCCACAACTCTCGTTGGCGGTCGACGTCGAAGCTTGACTATACAACTGACCGCTTTGGAGACACTTGTTCATCATTGATATCCAAAGATTGAGTTCTTTGTCGATTTCATAGATGGTGCTTCCGTAAAGGGAGTTGCTCTTTCCCTTATTGGGGTTTCTCTTTTCAAAGTCAGTCGACTCCAGCAATGCATGTGTAATTCAGCCTAGCACCACCGATGAGACCTATTGCGGGTGAAAACAGCACTGTCTGGTGTTGGATCATAAATGGATGGTGTTTGTATTTAGATTTTCAACCTAAACATTTATTTCTTTTCTGTTAATGAAAGGTGGTCTTTTTCGATAAAAACCTAAGGTGAAGACATATGATTTCGTTCATTAATCAGATAACTGAATTTTCAGATTGAAGCAAAGAGTTAAATTATAGGCAAAAATGGCAAACTATTGAAATTTTCAATAAGATATATTTTACCTGGTAACGGATACGCGAGATGAAAGCGTGTGTTTCTTTATTAGTCAACGCCCTTTCTCGTTCAATGAACCCCTTGCAGGAAGATATCATTTTCATGGCGGTATTGGATATCACCATATTATAATTTGTAGAAACCTTACAAGATACCTGGAATGTAAAATTAGTTCAGTTCTATATTTCAGTTCACTATGTATAGCAGAGAAAAAATTATAAATGGACTTGTGCACTTTGCCAGTGAATTGCTGTGATTTTGTTGTTTGTGACAATTGCAATTATACCGTAATTGGTATTAAGTGAGTCTAGTAAGTACACTGTACAAATAAAAGCAGGGCCGAAGTCGGTTTCAAATAAATACTGGGGTTCCCACTGCCTACTGTTCATTCATAAGATACCTGAATGAAATAGAGATGTAGAAATGAAAACTTATATAGAGATGGGGTACTGGAATTGGATCTTGAAGAACATTCAGTTCAATTCAAAATGTACTTTATCGCCTCAAGAATGTCTTCTTCTTGACAAGGCATTTCAGAAAATCTAATTAGGATATATACAAGTAGGATAATATATAGATGAAATGAACAGATGTAAAAGCGATATAATATAACCGTTTTGGAAGAGTGGAAAATATTCAAAAGTTGACAGTAAAATTGACTTCCATAACTATTACAGTTAGTCGTACTGAGTTGAAATTATTATAGAATTCAGCTAGGCTATTTTTTAAGATAGTTAAATTCTTGTGGTACCTTGGTAGAATTCATTCTCACTATAATAGGCCCTTGCAACAAGAAATTTTTCAACCTTATATCAGAATCTCTTTTCATTCTACAGTGCATTTCTTTAATATCCCCCCTTTTATTTTTTCAACTGTTCAACTCAAAAAATTGAAATTTGGGATAATGAAATTAATGAATGAATACTTTACTTTGAAGTGAAATTGACAGATAAAACTTTCAAGACGGCGACTGGGCGCCATCTGGCTCCTGACAAATGCTTCAAAACCCTAGAATATTATCCAATATCTTCAACTACTACAAAATGGCGGAACTTTTAATAATTGCCTGAATACATTGACATTCAACCACATAATATGAGGTAATAAGCTAGAGGTCAGTTCGGAAGATGCTCGAAATGGTTGCCTTGAAATTCTTGACATATTAACAGCCTATCCATTATTTCACGCCGAACATTTTCGGAAACAGTAACGCCAATATCTCTACAAATATTTATTCTCTGCTGAATATCCAATATTGAAGCAGGTTCAGTTTCGTACACCTTGTGCTTCAAATAGCCCCATAAAAAAGGCCAAAGGTGTCAAATCTGGCGGGCGAGCTGGCCATTCTGTAGGACCTTGACGGCCAATCCAACGACCGGGAAAAGTAGTATCCAAATAGTTTCTTACTCGTCTGGAGTAACGTGGTGGTGCTCCATCTTGTTGTAATACAATATCCATATCGAATTCATTAGGATTCGATTCGACGATTTCAGTGATGAGAGGGTCAACAGTAGTTTCCAGCATATTCAAATACAGTTCCCTGTTGAATTTTGGTCAATAAATAGAGGTCCTACAATATGGTTTCCCAATATTCCTGCCCAAATAATAATTTTTTCTGGATATTAGTTATGTGTTTCCCGGAAAACGTGAGGGTTGGTGTCACTCCAATAACGGCAATTTTGTCTGTGGACATTGCCGTTCAAAACAAATGTATATTTGTCACTATAACAAATATTGTGGAGATAGGTAGGATGCCTTGCAATGGTTTCAGTCATGATTTCGTAGAATTCTGTCCTTCGATCAGAGTCATCTTCAGTTAATTGGTGTACCATTATAATTTTGTATGGATGATACATATTCCTCTTCAGAAGTATCCATCCAGTACAAGGAGACATCTCACAAACATTCGCAACGGAATAAGTAGACTGTTCAGGATTTACTACCATCTCACCAATTATTTGCAATACACTAGCTGTTCTTCCGGAATGGGCACATGACCTGGGGCTTTTTGTTATGTACACTACCGATAGTTGTGAATTTGGATATAAGTTCTCTCAAATATTTTCTACAGATAGGACGAGTCGGAAAACGTTCATTGAAAATCCTTTCGGTCTCGTGAAAGTTACGCGTCGCACCGTAAATAAAAATCGTTTCAATATTTTCTTCCAACGGACGAGAATTGAACATTTTAGAGTATGTTGATGTGGTATCTTTCTACTAGTAAATCCAAAAACTAAATGAGAATACTCTAATGTAACAATGATGTTCATTATCATACTGACATTTTTTGTCGTTTTTATAAACAAAAAATAACTTAATAAACCTTATCGGGTTGTTGGAATTGCCATATAACAGTATGTATTTCTAGAAATATCGATATTATTAATGTGTTTGTCTTCAGGAAATTATTAAACGTTCCGCCATTTTGTAGTAGGCGTAGATATTAACTTCATATTCTAAAATTGTGAAGTATTCGTCAGGAGCTTCAAAATGATGTGTCACAAGACCCATATTTACATTCAATTTTTGTTTCAGATGGCTCTTGGTCGCCATCTTGAAAGTTTCATCTGTCAATTTCACCTCAAAATAAAGTATTCATGCATTTATTTCATTATCCCCAATTTCAATTTTTTGAGTTGACCCGTTCAAAATTTAAAAGAGGGGGGATATTGAAGAAATGCACTGTAGGTATATTCGCCTCGAGTTGATAGAATGATAATTGAGTAACTTTGAATTTTGGATTTTGTGTAAGTGCTATTGTAGGTGTAGAAAATCAAATAAGGTGTGAATGACGTGTACTATATGATGAAGTGTTATTATTTGATTTTTACCCAGCGTTTCCAAAAAAACTGTATGAATAAAGAACAGTATGAATCCTTATATCTAGCCTTGCATAAATATCGAATGACCTTTTTTTGTAACGAGAATACCGTATTGAGAAGAAATTGTTCACAATCTTTTGGGAAGCAAATTTCATAACGTAAATGGGACTCAATTTGAGCAAAGAAAACAGATCTTGTAAGAGCAGTATCAGGATATGCCAATAAAATTGTTGAAATGGGTGTCCTGAAGAAACCCACATTTTTTTTTGAAATGAAGAAGTAAAATGCCAAAACTTTTCTTAACTATGATTTCTCATTGCGAATTCTCGGTTCAATTGAACAAATTTTTTTCAATGAGTTTTCATCATTGAAGAAGTATAGAATAGTCCTGTTGGTTAGTCCTGGAATAAATTACCTCTGAAAATAAATTCATAGCCATGTTTCTTGTGCGATTTGCTTTTCGCTCAATATTTATAACACCTTATTAGAAGTTTGGGCTGGATCATCCCATGATATCGTAGAAAAGAAAATCATATTTCAAACTCTAACTCAGTCTAACATATCAATAAACGATGTGCTACATGAAGATTTATTTACTTTGTTCCGATTTGACTGAAATAATGTCATCTTTGATTCTCATAAATTTGTTTTTTATAGGTAGTTGAAAAAATTCCTAGACTGAAATACAAAATGGAACCAGAAGAAGGTAATCGCCTCTGTCTTCCATTACAAAAAATTAGTTTCGGATTGGGTCATGTTTTTAACGATTTATGTGCTGCCATGTGGTTCAGTTATACACTGTTCTACCTCCAAGTGGTTCTGACTATGGAATCTAGAACGGCAGGATTATTGCTGATGATTGGTAAATATTTGATTTTATCTCTCTATCTTCGAAATACTATCTTCACTTAATGTTTATGTTATTTTCTTGTTAGTATAGTGAAATTAGCTCCAATTTCAGAAAACAACACGAATTAGTTTAGGTTTTATAAGATTTATTTCGGCCATTACTGTACTACTGGCTCCCCCACTCCTGAGAAGGAGATTATAGTTAACAAATTGAAGACTTCTGAGAAGGTAAATATTGGAAAATCAAATTGTTGGTTCCATAAATCTAAAGGAAAGTATTTCTGGTGATTTATGTTTGTAAATTGTTCAAAAGTTAATCCACCGTCGGTTTTGAGGAATTCTGACCAACAATCGAATTGAATTCGAAAATCCAGTTGTTTTCCAACAAGATAGCGCGCCCTCACATTTTTGGGCCTACAAGCGATTGGTTGAATCACTTATATCCTGGCATGTGGATTGGTAGGCGTGGTCTGTTAGAATGGCCTACTCGTTCATCGGATTTGACTTTTTTCGATTTTTCTTTTAGGGCTATATGAAATCGAAAGTTAATGTTATGCAATCTCGGACAATACGAAAACTTAAAGACAGACTTACCGGAACTGTGCTAGCATTAGCCCAGAAACAATTCCAAAATTTTAGAAATCAGTTCGGAAGTAGACTGTTTCACTACCAGGGGTTCAAGGAGATAAATTTAAACATTTGGTCAAATGATTTTTTCATGTATACGATAGACAATGATGATTTTGAAATGAATTGTTATCGTTTTATGCCCATGAAATCAACACTATCCATTGCAAAAGATGTTATAGTAAACGATATTGTTCACACTTAAAGCCATCGGCATTCTCAAAGGCCAAAAAAACCAATGCATAGAATTGAACCGGCAGCAAACTAGTCCTCGTGGACTGTAGACGGTTCGTATTTGATAATTTTTACCAGCCGAGTTTTATGACTGGCTGAAGAGTTTTATGACTGGCACCCCCTCGGAGGGGTGCGTCCGACGACCCTGCTAATACGTGTCCATTTGATTTCGTAAAAAAGTAAGAATTATTCGTTTATTACGATGAGATTTTTTTGGGGGATGGGGTTGGTTACCACCCTTACATTTTAGGTAAATTGAGTGGCACCTCCTTATGAAGGTTGCCTTTTGACGTGGATATTTTATGCTTCTGATAAAAAAGTGAATCATACTAAAAACTTACCTACACAACGATTACAACCTGCTGATTTCCTTGAATGCTGATAACACAGAAAAGTTTAAAAAACTGTTTTGGGGTAATAAATCCCAATAATTGTTTTTAAAGCACACACAAAAAAGTAACACCTAATAAGGGTAACTCACATAGGAAATTTAGAGTAAATGTTTAAAATGTGCGCCATTTTGCTCCATGCAATAATAAAGATTTTGTTCGAATTTTGCTCTTAGAGTTATAGTTTGGCATTCATCAATAATTCTACGACATAATTCATCCAAAATGGCTGGCTGTGTAGCATGAACTTTAGACTTTAAATATCCCCACAAAAAGTAGTTCAGTGGTGTTAAATCTGGTGATCGTGCTGGCCATTCAATTGGACCTCTTCTGCCAATTCATTGTCTTTCAAAATGATTATTCAAAAAATTTCGAACTTGCTGGGCATAATGGGGTGGTGCACCGTCTAGTTGAAAATGGATAAATTCATCTTGACATCTTGGATCCTGTTCAATTATTTCAGCTATACGAGGTTTTATTGCCTCTTCAAGAAGTTGTAAATAAGAATCACCGGTTAAATTTCCATCAATGAAAAATGGACCTATAATATGATTGCCTAATATTCCGGGATGTTGGGTTATATAATCAGAAATGATTATTGAATAACGAAATTAGTTAGCTCCCTAACTATATTAGAAAAAGGGAGCTGTTGGAAAATAGATTGCACTATATCGTTTACTGGAACTATACTAATTTGTTTCTCCTTCCAATGAACATTCATTTCAAAAATTCAGACATAGGGTGGTGGAGTTACGAAATTGCTTATCCCAAATTCAAATATCAATAACTCCGCAACCCGTTACCAAATTCAAAGAACTAAAGGTTAATTGTATAGAGAATCAAAATACCTTTCATAAGATGTCACACTTTGATAGCCCCCTCTCGGTGGCAAGTGATATGAAACTATTGGATTTTCATCAAAAAGTACTGAAAATCGTGTCCGACACTGATATCTTGCCCCGTTTGGAAGCTAGAGAGGAGAGGGGGGGAGGCTACTTATCTCCACACTGCATATGTAACTCTGCCTCTAAGCATTCTCTGAGAAAACAATTCACAAAAGAATCATCCGCTAGACAGGGTCCATCAAAAAGAACCTTGATAGGCTGGAATATAATAAAAGAAAAGTTGGGCAGTTTTCTATTTTCTATAGATACTCTTACTGCAACTGTTCGACTGACTTAGCCTGCGTGATCATATAGCAGCCCATCGTTTCGAGGTTTATATATATAGTCTATACGAAGTCAATCCGAGCAGCTCAATGAAAGACTAATACCGGGTCTGATGAATTCACTAGTCAATACAATACCTCCCGCATAAAAGTAGTAAGTAGTCCTCAAAAATTATACAACGGCGCCCATGCAATACAAAAAAACTGCTGACGTTCGGTAACTATTTAGTTTTTATGCTATTCAAATTCACTTCGTATATACTAGAACTGTACTTTTCAAGTACTCGTCCATATGGAAAATGGTGTATTAGTGGAATAGGCGTCTCAGAACGGTTTGAATGAATGAGTAGGTATAATGGATATAATCTACAATGAAATGAGTTCAATGTAACAGTTGGGCCGAAAAGTTCGTAGGCTAACGTAGAAGAAAATTTTTTGGGATGAATTTTGATTTAATTATTCGATATACTTGTCCTCGAAGGCGACACAGTGATTATAGCGGTAATACAATTTTGCGATACCATTTTTATAGTACGATTTGTGTTTAGCCTCCAAATAGGCCTCAGTTTGACGATTACCTTTTCATCAGCGCTAAATTTTTTTCCAGCGAGGAATGAGGTCTGAGATCAGAAAAAAGTCGCTGGGAACCAGATCTGGAGAATACGGTGGATGTGGACGAAGTTCGACGTCCAGTTCATGCGATTTTGCCATCGTTTCCATTGATTTGTGACAGGATGTATTTTCTTGATGGAGCAGCACTTTTTTTCTTCAAATGGGGTCGTTTTTCGCGATTTCGTCCTTCGAATGCTCCAATAACGCTTTCCAATAGTCGCTGTTGATGGTTTTCCTCTTCAAGATAGTGAATGAATATTATTCCAAGCGCAATTGCGCATCCAAAAAAACTGATATTATTACTTTGGCAGCCGACCGTTGCGTCTTTATACGCTTACACGCAAGTAGATTCGTCACATGCAGATGACGATCATTTTCATTCTGGTGTGAAATGATGGAGCCATGTTTCATCCATTGTCACATATCAACGCATAAATGAAAATTTGTTTAAAATCTGTTTTTCCGTTAACCATCTGCCGCACCCCTACGAACGACAACCCTCAGAAGTCGAAACTTCTGCGAGCTAAGGATTAACGAGGTCTTACCTTTTAACATGTGATTCCTAACACGGGTTGGACGATAACAAGTGAAAATCGATCGTTCAGACTAGGGCTTGAACCACCGACCAACACGGCATCAATTCGAGTGAGTGAACAAACACGCACGTGTAACCGCCTGACTACCGACCGACCAGGTTTTTTATGGTTGAACAGCTTCAAGTATTGCCCAGAATAAGCAATTCGTTGTTGTTTTTGGTCTATTGTGAGCTCGCGCGGCACCACTTTGAACAGAGCTTTCACATACCCAAATATTCATGCACGATATGCCCAACACGTTTCTTTGATATCTTTATGTACTTTTTCGGTGATTTTGTTGGTAACAGTTTTTTTGGGGAGTCCACTGCGTGCATTGTCTTCAGTGCTCATTTCACCTCGTTAAACCACTTGTCAACGGGTAATTTCCCTAGTGCAATGTTCAACAAGCCAAGCCTCGACTTCAACAGTATTTTTTGGCCAAAAAGCAATGCTCTATCAGCACACGAAGTTCCTTTTCATCCATTTTTTTCAAAATAACAAAAGTTGCTTCTCTCACATTGTTCTATTCCATAAACTAATAGTCCGACAGCTGTGCAATTTCTACACGTGTCTTTTGAAGGTTGGGGTTCACAAAAAATCATATGGATTTGACACTAGTAGCGCCATCTGTGTGTAAGCGTACGAACTTTTCAGCCCACCTAATATATCGGCACTGCTTTCAGGGCTCTTTGAAGATTTACCAGCAGTGTTCATATATCGAGTGGTCCAACGAAAAGTATGCACCTTGCTTTTCTTCTTTTTTTGTAACTTAACGCAAAAATGCTCGGACAGGTCAATTTTGCTTTTGAGGGGGACACATTTCAGATGTATTTTTCTACCTGTGCCTTCAACCCCCTAGCGAGGGTNAGTGAAATACAACAAATTAGGTATCATTGGAAAGATAATTTTGTGTCCTTTCAAATGATATATCACTCGACCCCACTTTCCATTTAAAATTTTAGGGTTGTTACTCACCCTCGCTAGGGGTTGAAGGCACAGGTAGAAAAATACATCTAAAATGTGTCCCCCTCAAAAGCAAAATTGACCTGTCCGAGCATTTTTGCGTTATGTTACAAAAAAAGGAGAAAAGCATGGTGCATACTTTTCGTTGGACTACTCCGTATCTCGAAAACAGTATGCAACCTACCAATAACCCGTTGTTATTGGTAGGTTGCATACAGATGAAATGTATTTATATTTACTGTATTTATTTTTAGGTCAAGTTGTAGATTCTGTATCAACCCCCATGGCCGGATGGATTGTCGATCATTGTGGCCACCGCAAGCTCTGTCATTTAGGAGGTAAACAAAATAATAATGATGGGAGTATATTGTCCACACATTATTTTCAGGTACAATAGCGGTTTCTGTTGGTTTCTGTATGATTTTCTCTATGAAACCAACAACGTATAATACTTCAGCATTAACATATTACGCTTTGGTCATATCAGTCTTTCAAATAGGATGGGCCATTGTTCAAATTTCTCATTTATCGATAATCCCCGAAATATCGAGAAGTCATAGTCATAGTTCAGATTTAACTGCTATCAGGTGAGTTATATTACTCAAGATTATCATCATTGTTTTTTCTATTCGGCGATTATTTCATTTCTAATATTTACGAATCATCCATATACAGGGTGCATATAGGGGAATGGTGTACGAGATGATTCACTTAAGGGAGAATGCTTGTAATTTAGATTATATTCGACTTATTGCAGATAAAAATACATTCATCCATAGTAAATTCATCTATCTAACTGTTGTCATACTCAAAATATATATTTTATTATAAACACCATTTTTCAAAACATTATGAAAGGACCATCTTGTACACCCTGGTGTCCAAGATGATCTCAGCGGTAGGGGCAAGATGATCCCAGGATCATGTCACCCCCCTCAATTTGAGATTGTCATAGGTTATGGTAGAATTACCTAAATAAAGTCATAATCAGGGTTTACTATCTTGAATCAAGTCAGTCGGTCCCCATCATAATTTAATGAGGAAACAATCATCACATTGTATGAGATCTGTGGTTAAGTAAAGGTTCAACAAAATTATATATTCTTCTAAAGAAGGTAATAACTCATCTTCTGAAACAGATAATCTAGTAAAATAAATCTCACTACTCAAAATCAACATTAAGAAAATAAAAAAATAATTTCTGCATTATTTTTAACAAATACAAATGAAACTCAAAAAAATATTTTATAGAGCTAAGCGTCTCTTTTCTGTCGTAATTTTACACCAATCGCAGGTGAATTCATCAGGATCATTGCTATCTATTCCTGTACAAGCTTCATGGCCCCATCTTTGGCATACACAACATTTTATCCATCCCTCGCCCCTATCATCTTTTTAAAATGTTTGCATACAGAAAAGACATTCTGCGTCTTCTTCTTCATATGAATGTGATACAATATTCTTCTTTTTATTAAACATTCCTTTGCCTACACTTCTCCCTTTCTGTTTCTTTTTAGGATATTTTTTCTTTATATTTTGTTGTGTTTCATTGATTCTATTTTATTTATCTGTCTTTTTATTCCTTTCTAACTCTAAATAATTTTTGTATGGCTTGCTAGTTAAGATCAACGTGTCCATTGGTTTCCTCTTGAGATGGCTTCTTTTACCGACAATTTTGGGCAAAGGATGAATTTGAGCTGGTGTAACATTAAAAGGTTCATATTGGCTATCTTCCAGAATGGATGGCGATACACTCCGAATGGATGTCGACAAAGGACTCCGAATTGACAAATTTCCTTCATTTATGGAAGTTGGTGACGGTGTTTTATTCTGCAAATCTGTGAAGATGTGTGAAGTGGAGGTTTCTGGTTCTGGTGAGGGATCCGTTGCTGGTAGTTGTTGTATGTTTGAAACCATTGTAGGCATTTCTATTACACTGGAGGCTTCATTGAATTCCATTTTGCTGGTTGCTGCAGCGATAAATTCAGCTTCGGGAACCACATCCAGGTTGAAAGGGAATATCCCAGTTTTGGCAAACCCATTGATGGCATTTAATGGGACCGCTGCTTTTGATTAAGCCTCTCTGAAAATCATTGCAATCTAAAATACAGTTACTGGCCTGCCAGGATTGTTGTTCATCCATTTTTCGAGTGACTGATTGTGGTATATACTTATGGGATACATCAAACTGACATCTAAAGGCTGCAGTTTATGAGTCCAGTGTGGAGGCAAGCAGGCAATAGTGATGTGGTTTTCTCGAGCTTTCAATAATAATTCCAAATTTTTTGTTTGTGAAAAGTGGTCATCTAAAATCAACAGAACTGGGTTCTCTGGAGAAAGTTTCGTGTAGCTTATAAAATGATCAAACCATTTGGTGTAAACTTCCAAATTCATCCATCCAGATGAATTTTATGCCCATGCGGAGCCTAGTAGTGCACCATCTATTAGTTTCATCTTCATACGAACTCTTCGAAAGATAAACATGAGTGGTACAAAAGTTCCAGAAGCAGATATACAAATTACACCTGTTGTAGTCTTCCCTCTTTCAGCTGATGTAACTCGAGCTACCTCTTCACGTCCAGTTCCTGCAAACACCTTTGCAGGAACCTTCAAAAAGGAAAACCACCTGTTGTTCCTTGAAGAGGATCATGTGGAAATATCAAATTTTAAAGTTGACATATGATATGTAATTATTTCGCACATGCGTAGTACCAGCCAATGACCAAGCTCAAGTTAAAACTGACATTCGACATCAACAAATATATGATCTGTGGCACGAACCATAGCCCTGTTGCCAAATAACTTGGGTATTGCTTGGCTGTGGCTATACCACAAAATTAGATATGATTACCCTTAAAAACTAATGTGAATTCCCTCTTATTTTCTGATTGAAATTGTCTCTTAAACTTCACTGTTATCAAGTACTTTTCTTTGTTATTTACTTTTTGTCTTCAATAGCGGACCGCATTCCCAGTACTGACGATACCCAATAGGCTGAAACAGCTGTCTACAGGTGTCTCTTAAATTGAAATCAGTATGAGAATGATCAGATTAGTACTTATCTACTAATTTTTTGATTTTCATGGAATTATTTTCCAGCAGCTTGACTGCATTAACCTTTCTCAATTTCATATCAGTTCTAGAAACATGTGGATTCGTTTTCCGATGGCAATCCAGGATGGCCTTCAAAATTTCTGCTACCTCGGTTGTCGGTTGATTGGTCAAACCACCAACAATGACATAAAAACTTGGCAAGTTGACTTGGGTGCCACACCAATAGGTGATTCCACTTATGTTTCGCTTGCGTTTAAGCTGTTATTTTCAAGTACTTTTCTTGGTTGATTGGCACGGTTGACTGTAGTTGGCACTTCTTAAAATGATATACCAATTAGGCCGAAAATTATTTTACATTTGCAGAAAAATATAATTCAAAGGAGCGAAAATTTGAATATACCGCCTATCTGCGAACTGATAATATCGATTGTATTTCATTTGTTCGGATATAACTTGATTTGAAACTCCTGAAAGAATCTATAAGAATTCAAAAGATTAGCTGAAACATAAAGATTTTATGAAGCAAAAACACTTAAATTACAATGAAATAAAATACAAGCAACAATCAAAATTCCAAAAACTGAATTATTAACACGAAGTGAAAATTAAAAATTATTAACAAGAAATGAAAATTGAAAATTAAAAGATTTCAAGCCAAATTACTTCACGATGTTACCGCCTTTCACGGTGTACCCCTACCTGGCTGGAGTGGGATAGATAGAAAATTGTTCATCTGTTAATGAGGGCCTTATTCGACAGAGTGTCTGAACTTTCTATATCGTGAGGGGTCGTGTATAGCTCCCCTAACTAACGGATTTTCATGAGTTTCCGCACTATCAAAAACTAGCCGATTCCTCGACTGAATGGACGGCTGAATGGAAGGCAGCTGCAAATCTCTGCGAATGGCTTCATTTTGCACGAACCAGGGAGCTTTCACAATCATCTGTATTAACTCATATTGGAGTTTCTTCAGAATGGATATATTAGACGGAGCCGCTTGTCCCCAGACGCCTGAAGCATACATAATTACGGGCTTGAACATCGTGTTGTAGATCGTAGGTTTGTTCTTCAGGCTCTATTTGAATCGTCTTTTGATTAGAGGGTACAGACTTTTGAACCGACCTACAACTGCTGATATTGATACCCTGCGATGTTAAAGAGCCTTGTCATATATTTGAACTATCTGAGTTGACAATTTCATGGGCATTAACATCTAATTCTTGAAGTGAAAAGGACGATGCTGTAACGCTGGAGCTATCTGTTGGGATTATTCTTTCAGCAATAGTCTTTTTATAAGAAATAGATTGATCGATGTAGCCCTCAGCTACCGTTGTAGACTTCCATCCCCCGTGCTTCTTAATATCCGTTATATTTGCTCCTGATTATGCTAGCAAAGAAGCAGAATACCTTCTGAAACAGTGACCTGTATATTCCTTTGTTCCCGGGAGGTTCAGAAACTCAGCAATGGTAGGGGGCATTTTCCCAAACGTGTTTATACCAACTGGGTTGGCACTGCATTTATAATTTGAGTATTTCAGAAAAAACGTTAATGATTAATATCAGATGGGCGTAATGCAATGTAATTATTAAAATGGTCAATGTATTTTCCAACAATGTGAAAAAAACTACATTTTTCGTTTTTACATTTGGAATTTAAACAATCAATGATTTATCCATTGATTTAATGTCTTCTTTTAATAAATGGCACAGCTCTTCACGCCGGCAGGCTCCATATATTCCGAAAATAGTAGCAACTTTTATCATCAAATATTTTTCATCTGGCGTTTCATTTATAAAACTCTGACGAGTTCCATATTTTTGATTTCTCTTCTAGATAGGCTAAGAAGACGGTTTCGCTGAAATTTACTTCGGAGTTTTCAAGTCTACACGAGCTAAAAAAATTAGAATGTGCGATGTCGTATTGCTGAGCCGAATTTTTTGATAACAATTCAATTGAAGCTCTTTTTGCAGCCTCTTCAATATCGTCAGGAACACACAATTCCTCACTTTTGTTCTTCATTATGCAAGACATTAAACACAAGCAAGAACTTTGAATGTGACTTCAAATAAAACGCGTCACCTGACACGGCCATTTCACAGCAAATGCGATAACATAAAAATAGTCAACTGACAAAAGATGTCAAAATGTATTTCCATAGAAATAATACATTTATCTATTTCATTATGACAACAGGACAGTTGTACAAAATACTTTGTATGATATTTGTGTTAAAAGTAAGTTTTATTTCGTTCGTGAAATTGCTCAACTCGCTACGTTCGTTTCGCAAACTTTTTCTCTCACAAAATAGTACCTAACTTTTAACACTCATATCATAAATACCTACCTATTACCAAATAATAAAAAAAAACATTTGGTGAAATCAGTTTCATTTAAAATTGATTACACGAAAATATCAGTAATATCGCACGTTGTTTCAGGAAATTGCCCTTCTGATAACATTCATAGGGCTGCTTTCTTCTATGTTATTTTATTGTGGTCTCTTGGGAACATATGAAAATGAATATGAAACCATTGGAGAGACGGAAATTGAAGACGCTAACACACTCCACAATCACAATGGAAAACATTTTTTGAAATCTTTCGTCATATATTGTGTATCGGTAATGTGAGTAGTAATTAAGGGAGTTTGCTAGATATACAGAGTACTTTTTCCTGGCTACTGATCTTGTTTGACAGTAAGTTACTTAGTGATCAACTACTAAAATCAAAAGCCATTTCCATTATCACATCATGAAGAGAAATGTTGTCAGTATAGATGTTTGTTCTATTGAAAACACTTCTCCAATACCAGAACAAAAGTCCTGATTTTTTACGAGTGTTTTGCTAATGAAATTTTCATCATCAGAATATGACTAAAACAAAATCTAACACATATAGTCAGTGGGCATACTTGAAGATTGGCTATAAATCAAATTATCTAAGAACAATTCGTCCTTCGTGGTATTAGCTGGGGTAGTAGTTGTTTTCTGATAGGTGTCAGTCCATTAACCTACTGTGTAGGGAGTTGACACTGGCCTGAACGAATTGTTCTTAGATAATTTAAAATCTAACAGTTATATTAGGGCTTTCATAATATCCGGGTGAACCATTATCTCACATAATGAGTTATTGAAACAGTGTCATTAAATTAACTCTTATCATTAGTTATTTTGTTATCGTATTACCTGCTTACCTGTTTTCTACCTGTATTTATTATGTTAGCAATAAACCTACAACAGACTGTTTGAAATGGGACCTTTGTCGATTATCACACTTTTGTTGCTGTATTCACAATAAAAAATGGAGTCGTATACAGGGTATACTTTAGTTTCGGCCCATATAAAAATACAAAGTTGATGATGTTTTCTAAAAGACAAAACGTCACAGAAAAAGTCTGCTTACGTTATCTTGTAGTCCTTAAAAAGTGGCCATGGCAAAGTGCTATTTGTTTTACATATCTTTCAAAATAAAGCTAGGAAAAAATAAAAACGGAATTCTCAAATTTCGGTTTTTCTCGGATATCTCCGAAACTACTCGGAATATTAAAACTTTCTAAATGGCATATTATTAGGTACATAAATCCGTTACTTTTCTCTAATTCAATCGACCCTGTATCACTTATCGTTTCCGATATCCCCATGCTGTTCATTCTTATCTTGAACACAGTGTATAACACATAACAAATCATGCAAGATATTACATGAGATAAAATATCAGAGTCGGTAAAAATGTTACATCCAGGTCAAGTGAATAAGATAATCGGTTTGAAATATAGATCAATAATCTAAAAAGTCCTTCAGGAGAAGTGTTTTTAATGGAGGTTCGAATTCCACCTAGGAAGTTAGGTAATTATTCTTGTGGAAAAATGTGTGTTCTGTAAATAGCTACGTTGTCATCAAAAATAATATTATCTATGAATAATAGTTCAGAATAGATATGTTTCCATAAATAGGAAATATTCAAAACATTATTTTTTAATTTGAAAGGGTTATATTTTCAGTAGTGACTAATTTTTGGCAAAGAAAGTTTTTGGCTTTTTACTACTTCATTTTGATATAGAAAAAATGTGGGAATCTTCCAAAGAAAGGAAGGAAGTAACTGTATACACAGATGTGTAGATCATACAAAGAAGTAACTTTCAGACACAAATCTGAAAAAAAAAGTCTTCCTGAAACAGCTACTTTCATATAAACATTGAATTACACGAAAGAAAAATTATTTCGAAACAAATACTTTTATATGAACACTGAATTATACAGAAAACACTTTTTTCTACTCAGTTTGTATTCCAAACATTCGTTATAAAATTAAATCAGATATTCACAGGGTTTCTACACAATATACTAAATGAAAATAAAATTTCACTTACATGGAACACTGTCATACTCACTGGTAGACATCGATGTTTCGCCGTAAGACAGCCTTAGGGCTATTCAGTACCAATCTGGATAACATTATAAGAAAAAACACACATTTCATTCATAAATAACGATTTTTTATGTCACGGAATAAGTTTGGGGAAAATTTTACTTTATGGGATAGTCACGGATTTTCGCGATTTTTTTTGTGATGATACTACGTGATGGTAGGAATTCAGAACACTTTTCATTTTTTGTCGGACTCAATTAGTTTTCGAGATACAGCCTGCCAAAGTTTGTATGATGTCATATTTTATCTTTTTTTATTATGCAATAAACGATTGCAATTCACATATTTTTTATCCAACACATCTTTTTCCATATCATCGCACTATACACTTTCTTCAACATCTAACCTGACCTCCAAATTCTAAAAGGAACGTATTTTCGAATATTTACTTTTGTAAAAACTATATTTCCTTAACATCTAATCTGACCTCCGATTTCTAAAAGGAATTCTATAAGGTTATGTCGATGTGTGCACCTGACAAATTATGGAATTTTATTCTAATTTCAGGAAACTCGGCCATAAGTGATTGAAACGGGATAGAAAAAGGTGCGTTGATATGGAAAAAGTTGTGTTAAATAAAAAAATATGTGAATTGCAATCGTTAATTGCTTTTAAAAGAAGGTGAAATATGACGTCATACAAATTTTGACAGGCTATATCTCTAAAACTAATTAAGTCCGTCAAAAAATAAAAAGTGTTCTAAATTCCTACCATCATCTAGTATCATTCCTGGAAAAATCGCGAAAATCCGTTAGTATCCCATAAAGTATAATTTAGCCTAAGTTTGATCTACTTATGTCATTGATGACATCGTAATGACATTCATTAACATTAATGACATTGATTAAATCTCAGCCAAAAGGTATTTTGTTCAATTTGAAAAGGCTATATTTTTCAATAATGGCGTCTTCACAATGAATTGTCTTTGAACATGAAAAAACAATTTTCAGATAATTTATTCAAAAGTAAGTTTAAAGAGCAACTATTTAGTATTCAGTGTAACTGAGTCTGTGTTCGCAGTAAGAATCCTGATGAACATTTCTTTATATTCAACACTGTAGACTGAAAATCGAACAGAAACAGATCAACCAGAATTTATCTTTCACAGCCTTTTGTACACTTTTTCTATTGACATATATATCAATATGTATTTTTGACGTTTGACTTGTGTGAACACCTTGTTCTCTATGGATACCAATAGAGAATTGTTTGATTGATTGTTTGGAATTATTTTATAAACATTTGATTTTCTTCAATTAACCGAATTAATTTGATATATTATTTGAAAGATATAATGAAAAATTATTTTTTTAGGTACATGACATCGAGATTATTCACAACACTGAATTTGATTTATATTCCGCTTTATATAAACGAAAGAGGTGCATTGAATGACGTTGACAAGGAGAAAGTTAGAGAAACAATTGCTACAGTACCATTGGCCTCGTATATATCCTCCTTCTTGACAGCAATATTTTTGAAATTTAGAATAGAGATATTCACTGATAAGGTGAGATTCAGACTTGGTAGTTGAGTTTTGATTGCTAATGCAATTGGATTGGGTATTGAACAATTATTTACTTATCATTGTAAGTCTTTACTGATTTTTCCCCATTGTTATCATGGTGAAAATTAATATTGATTGCTTCTCCAGCGATGCACTTTTCTAATCTTGAATGAGTCGTTCAGAATTAGTCTTTGCCTGCATGTTGATTCCATATCAGATCACTTTCACCTTTATTTAGATTGGGTGATTTCAATTTCCGTTTTTTATTTGCTTGAGCTCNAGTTTAGATAGAAGATATTTTAGATGTTACGGACAACTATGAAATTCCTTTGGCAGATTTTACATGGTCTTATTCCAAATTTGCAATTAACAAATCCGATAGTTGGAATGGGTTCATGGAAAAGGTATACACTAATTTGACTTATCATACTTCAAAAATTATTCCTGTGCCGTTTATAAAAAATCCACCGAGTGATTATAATACCATTTTTACATCGTTGGTAGAATCGGCTAAACAATGCAAAAACAAGAGCAAAATATTGTGTTTGTAACGTTTGACGAACCACTATACCACAAAGCTCGTGAAATCCTAGCCAGTATTGATTTAAATAATGATCCCTACAATTTATCCGTAATCCAAGTAAGACTTGGGGAATTTCATTTATTGATGTCGTTCTTCGAAGCAATTGGATTCATAGTGGTTGGTAGTGGACTTAAGGAGGCTTTTTGTGGAATATGTGTCGAAAATTCGTCCGAAAAAGCTCTTTCTGACACGCATATACGAGGTATCAGAGGACATTTTTTGATGATTCTGCAACCGTGTTAGGAATCACACGTTAAAAGGTAAGAACTCGTTAGTCCTTAGCTCACACACGTTTCTCAACTTCTGAGAGTTGTCGTTCGTATGGGGGTGACAACTGATTAACGGAAAAACAGATTTTAAATAGATTTTTTTAAACAGATCGATAGCATTCTTAATTCAAATAATGGCTGTTTAATGAACTGCCGTTGAGATCCCAGTTTATTCGTGGTTTGAGACTTGTCGATTCTGAAGATGAGGACTTCATTGGAGGATCATTCATCGCCACCACCTACTGAGGATTTTCGTTGCTAAGTGAAGAAGAGTTTATCCGTTGCATGTATGATCCGGCCTAATATCAGTGGAGTCATGTGGTAGCCAAATGGTTAGTGAGTTTCACCGCTATTGTGAATGTGAGATGGATCCCAACTCTGGAATAATAGATGCTCACTGCATACCGTCTGATCCCTGCTAAAACTTGCAAGTTGAAAGATAAGACCTCGTTAACCTTAAGCTCGAATATGTTTTTAATTTTAAGGGTTATCATTTGAATTGTACGACAGCTAGTCCCACATCAACCCATTCAAAGAGAAACATATTTAGTTGCTCTTTTTAGTTGAGGCACGATGATCAAAATTGATTTGAATTGATCGTCCCCCAATTACAGCTGAACAATCTTTTTCGGTGACTGAATAGTTCACTTACCTTTTTGACAATGTATGAAAATAATAACTAATAACCCCCAGTTATATTCTTCGTCGCTGGTGTTTACCATTTTGATATCGGGTTGTCTTTCAGTTTTTCCATTATCGAATTGATTTCTACAGTTGCTTTATCTCTTCTACTTTTTTCATAATTCATTATTACTGAGTGGTTTTGCGACTGCGCCGAATTGTAATGATTGCATCTGATGAAGATTTTCTCACCTATTCGAGATAGAAATTGCCAATTTAATATTTATTTATAACCACTACATTTCCGTAGCAGAGTAGTCACAATATATACAATATACCGAATGATTTTAAATTACTACAAAAGATAAACAAGGACCTCAATGGCAGCCAATGATGAATCGCTTTCTGTTTCTCTCAACAGCTTACACCACAAATGAGTCAATAAATTATATACCAAAGCATAAAAGCGTTGTATCTACAATCCAATATTAGCCAAGCTTCGACATCGTTGTGGAATTGGCCGCGATGGTAGTGCGCCCGACTCACGATCGGAAGACCGTGGGTTCGATTCCTGCCTCGACCAGATATTTTTCTCGGAAGAATTTATCTGGTTGAAGCTGGGATGATTCTGCAACCGTGTTAGGAATCACACGTTAAAAGGTAAGAACTCGTTAGTCCTTAGCTCGCACACGTTTCTCAACTTCTGAGAGTTGTCGTTCGTATGGGGGTGACAACTGATTAACGGAAAAACAGATTTTAAATAGATTTTTTTAAACAGATCGATAGCATTCTTAATTCAAATAATGGCTGTTTAATGAACTGCCGTTGAGATCCCAGTTTATTCGTGGTTTGAGACTTGTCGATTCTGAAGATGAGGACTTCGTTGGAGGATCATTCATCGCCACTACCTACTGAGGATTTTCGTTGCTAAGTGAAGAAGAGTTTATCCGTTGCATGTATGATCCGGCCTAATATCACTGATGGTAACACCATATCAGATGAAAATAAAATTGTCCGATAGTGAACTAGCGAAATAAAATTATTTATTTGAATTGAACGATGAATATCACCGCTATTGTGAATGTGGGATGGAACCCAACTCTGAAATAATATATGTTCACTGCATACGGTCTGATCCTTGCTAAAACTTGCAAGTTAGAAGATAACCTTCGTTAACCTTGAGCTCGAATATGTTTTTAATTTTAAGGGTTATCATTTGAATTGTACGACAGCCAGTCCCACATCAACCCATTCAAAGAGAAACATATTTAGTTGCTCTTTAAATCCATATACATTTTTCAGGTAACTTACTTTATTGGATCTCTCATCGGACTTGTTGCATCAATTTGGATAGGCATAGGAGTGTCCCAAGACTCTGATGGACAACTTTTTGTGATTGCTACATTGTTAGGTAAGGTTACTGGTTTATTCTCCAATACTAATCGTTGTTTATACTACTTGTAGATACCTCAATTACTTTTTAAAAATAAACTCATAACATACTTGTTCCTATCGGAAAACAAGAAAATTATCTACGTTTACATATACTTACCTTATAATGGAAACCAATTATGAATGTCTCAAATTTCAATTATAATTACGTTTCGATCGGGTACCATTCTTGTTGAGGCAATGTATACTTTCTTTCAAAGGTAGGTTAGGTAAGGTTAGGTCCAAAGCGAGTGGGTCTATTCGACCCTCCACCGCAACCCGCAAGGGTTCATTATGACTCATACCCATTCATACTCGACCAAATAAACCCAGATCTTAACGAAGTCGATTAGTTTGTATGATGAGTGGTCTTTCAAGTGGTGTGGCTCGAACTCTAAAAACCTGATCCGGTCCCCCGCGGGGCAAGCACAACGTATGTGCTATGCTATTTCATCATTTTCCAAACAGAGGTGACACACACTATCTTTCGACAGTCCGAGTCTTTGCATATGATGATTTAAATGACAGTGACCTGTGAGAAGGCCAGTTAGACATCGCAGTTCATCCCTAATGTAGTCCAACAACTGTTTGGTATCAAGCTTCGAAGGGTGAATAAACGCCTTGGAGTGAGTGAATCTTGGAAGATTCTGTCAGAAATCCATAAATCTTCTTCTCATCCAGGTGATCAGTCTTTGTATGGCAAAGCCTAAAGCGATGTCAATGACAGGTTCTGGTCCGATGAAGCTGCTTGCAGCACCCTCTTTTGCAAGGTCAGCAGCCTCATTGCCTTCCAGGCCAGTATGGCCAAGAATCCAGACCAGAGACCATCTGTTAAATCTTCTTATCGAGGAGAGTCGTTTTTGACAATTTGCTACCAATTTAGACGTTGCTCAGTAGGAGCCAAGAGCTTCCAACGCCGCTTGATTGTCCGAGAATATTTTTATTAACTTATTTATGAGGTTGGATTCTTCCGATCTCTCCGCACACAATTCGATAGCATAAATTACCGTTTGAAATACAGTCGCATAGGTTCCTAGGCTGGTTGATATCTCTGTACTGTACTGAACCAACAAATATCTGCTCCTAATATTTTCTTCTCCCGGAGGATCCAGTCCTCTCTACTCGTGAATATCACTTCATAAGGCAGTTCGTAGTTGATAGTTGGATGCATAAAGTCAGAGGCTATTTCCAGGATGCTGTAACTTCCGGTGTCAACCAAGAGTCTGTTGCACTCTGCATTAAATTGATTTGTGCAATTGGCAATGTGCACAAGTGTATATGCAGCCCATCCAGCCTTTCTCTCCAGAAAAATGTGGAGAGGAGGTAGATCTAGAAGGATCTCCATGATCGCTGACGGTGTGGTATCGCTGGCACTACTGTTAGCCAGACAAGCCTGTCTCTGTAAGCCAGAGAGCTTCTCCTGGGCCGTTTTCTGTTAAGCCTTCGGCAATTGCACCATTAGGGATCATTGGTCTGAAAATCATCACATATTTGTTTTGGGACCTAAATCCCAAGTTTTACTACAAATCCCAATTTTCGCCTCCTGGATTATCACAGTTTTGCTGGAGTTGACAGACATCTGCTTCCTCAGGCTCCAATTGTGAACAAAGTCTATCGTACTTTGGATGATATTACAAGCTATTCTTCTCGACGTATACCTTGCCAAGATAATAAGGTTATCTGCCTAAGGTTGCACATCTAATTTTCTTCTCTCGAGGGCATCAAACAGACTATCCATCAGTAGCGACCACAGAAGGGAAGATAATACCTCACCTGGAAGGCAGTCTCTGGTGACCATGAACATAATGACCTCGCCTTGAAGAGTCGTAGGTTTATCGGCATGGCATAGATCCAGCCAGTAATGGTCGATTCTATACCTTTCCTAGCCAGAGATGATCCTATAGATTTAGGTGGTGCATTGTCAAATGACCCTTCAATATCGAGAAATATAGCAACCACCATCTCCTTGTTGTCAAGGGATTGGTAGATTTTCTCTATAAGGTTGTTTGATGCTAAATCGGTTGATTGGCCGGTTTGATAAGCATACTGGTGATTATTCAGTGGGGATGCATATAATGCCACCCTTCTGATGTGTCCGTCCAGTATCCTCTCAAGTCCTTCCAACAGGAAGGATGTAAGGCTGATTGGTCGTACCGATTTAGGGTGTGGGTCTTTCCGACCCATTTCAGTTATATATACCACCCTTGCTGCCAATCAACTGGGTGGTATATAGTTCCCCGCCAGGCTAGCTCTATATAATTTTATGAGGGTAGGTGAAATTATTTCCAGTTCATTTTGAAGAAGAGCTGGAAATATACCATCCTCTTCAGGAGATTTGAAGGGCTGAAATGACTTGAACTGCCGGTGGTGTGATAAACCTTCTTGACGACCTCCCAATCGTTCTTTTTTGGGCGTTTAGCGCCCTCGAAAATGGGAGGTCTGTTGTTATCAAGAGTCAGATTTCCAGGAAGCTGGTTTTCTATCAAAAGCTTTAATGTTTCTTTACTAGAGGTCGTGAATGTTCCATCGAGTCGTTTAAGCGACTCAATTTCAGCAGAATTTTGTGAATTCTTGTACTACGAGGTAAATCAGACATACTCTCACAGAACTTCCTTCAAGATTCCCGTTTTGCCTTTCTAATTTACTTGTTGTATATCTTTACAGTTATTTTATATATAGCTCCCAGTTACCCGACTCTTTAGCTTGATTGAATAATCGTCGAACTTCTTTTCTTTGTTTTCCAGGCTTCTTTCCACCAAGGAGAGTTATGATTATCTCTTTTAAACCTCAGTGGACAGTTCCCATAATAGGATGAGATCACTGCTTCGCGAAATTTCTCCGCTACTGTATCCATATCATCATGACTGTGAATAGTAATGAATCCGTTCTCAAAGTACGATTGAAGCGATTGTTTCCGTGGAAAATATTGAAACGTTTGTCATACCGATTTTTTTTCGATATATCAGATCATCATAAGTTCTTTCATTTTCTCATAAATATTATCTAGGTAAATGCAACACCAGCCAAATAATTATAGGAAAATATATACATGATATATATCAAGTTCAATTTTTGAGTTATTACTATTAACAAACGAACTTACAATGATCAAACAATGTGAGTGTATAACTGTGGGTCGGTGAACACTGGAACCACGGAGAGAAGTGTGAATACACGGCAACATAAAAAAAATCTAGCTACCTGCACACAATTCCTCCCGTATCAGATCAATTGATTCAACTAATAAGTCACACCAACCGCCAATGGAATAAAACCGTAGACCCAAACCAATTCTGTATATCTGCTTTGAGAAGGTAGGCGAAAACCTTTAGACTACAGCCAAAAATGCGAGGGAAATTTCATCAGTCCTGCTTAAGCAAGTAAAGCGGTTCATTCCTACATTTTTTTGTATGAAGACTGAGAAGAAGAAAACTAAAACCTTTCTTCCCCAAAAATTAACCTCTCCTACAAATATAGTTATTTCCGCATCAAGATGTTAAATTGTACGAAATATTTTTACAAAAGAAAAAAAGAAAATATTATGAATACATCACAAAATTTACTTTCTTTTCATTCATTTCCATATTATCTGAATTTGCTGAAATAAGATATGCCTCAAAATGGATCTTTGAGGTACTCCTATGTTTTCAAATGAATGCTCAAGTATGTCTCAGAATGGAGTTTTGGGGTACCCCCCTGTTTTTTTAAATGAGTGCTTAAGTATTTTTATGTTCAGTTAACCAGTTTAGTGATCCAATAATTTTTCTGTAAAAAGGTTGGTTGGGTAACAGGATTAACTTTTTTTCTTGAAAAAACAATTGTTTTCTTGCCGACGTTTCGAATTTAATTAAATTTTTATGTTCGATGTAAAAACCACTCTTACGAGTAAGATACTCAGACTGAGGCTTTCATTTTGCAAGTACCTAATTACCTTCAGAAACTAAAGGATGTGGGATTCAAATAAATATTGACCACTCATAAACTACAATTGGGGTGAAAGGATAATAAATTCACCGAATATTTTTCCAGGCATCAGTGGATCCTCGACTATGGTTAGCAGTTTGTGCATAACGGCGAACTTTGTGAAAACTAATGGCTGTGGAGGTGGACTTGTGTACAGTTTGGTTACTTTTACCGACAAATTGATATCGGGATGTGTTGTTCTGTTGATCCAAAATTTGTAAGTACCTATAGAAGTTTGATGATGAATAGAAATCAAGTTGAAAAGGTCAAAATGATGTCCATAGTTAGTCAATAATGTATGAATACTTCAGGCATTCGAGACCAGGAGTGGTAATGACTACATATCTTCTGGAAACTCCATCTACGAAAATTATATAGAATCAAATCACGAATATCAGAGATGAACGCAGGTTCCGCAGGCGGATCGTTGCAAAAACAAGCTTTGCGATCTTTATCCACTACTAGATAGCTTTGTTAAGATCTAAAATATAGTCTGATCATGAATGTGCGTGTTTCACGCCCAGAGTCACGATTGAAGACAACAAAATCCTGGTTGGCAGATCATGGTCAAATGAAACTTGTAGTACCTAACGTTTCGTCAGCTACTGAGACAAACATCATCAGTGGAATATGCGTTGACCGCGAGGACGAAAATTATATTTCAAGGTCTCAGCATCGACTGACTGGCGAGCTCCGTGTTCACTCGTATTTATAATTTAAGAGGGTGGTGAGGGTGACGGCGGGGATGCTGAAGGGTAAGCTCATTTCTGATTGGTGCGTACTGTTACTGAGTTGTGATTAGTATACTTTGTTGATAGGTATGCTGCTGATAGGATGTCGATAGGATATCTGGCTTTCTTAACTTCTAGATACCACGTTGTGTTGACCTGTATACCTTCTTCTTTTCTGTTGATATTGAAGGTGTGCTCATAAATCTCAATGGCTTCTCTATGAAGTCATGCGTGTTAATGCCATAAATTTGCCAGGACGGCAATTTCTTCTTGATTATGTGAGTATTATTCTGCAACTGCGAATTTTTTCGGTTGCATAAGGCGACAGCTATACTTGTGTTTGATTGTTCCGATGTGAAGTGAGACACAAGAACAGGGAATCCTGTAGACACTGGCGGATTTCAAAGAATATCTTTTGTCCGTGACTGAACTCTTAGTTTTGCGTAGTGGATTAGTTGCCTTGCAAATAGTTTTGATGTTCTGATAATTCACAAGCCAACTAATTACCAACGTGAAACTATCAAATCGTAACAGGAAAAGTTAACCACTCACCATTTCAAACCTTTTTTCATAATGCCAATACTTTTATTCATATTCAAAAATGTATCTGCTGTTCAAGAACTGATATTGTGATTGTTTTGCAAATTCTACCTGCTATCTCTGAAATTTTCCTGCTGTCCAAGAACTGTGATTGTAATTGGTTAACCAATTCTATCTGTTATCTCATTCATTATTAACCAATTGAATTCGGTACCTACTACGGTTGTAAATAGGAACTGTAGCCCAAGGAAGCCAACGATGAAAGATATATTCTGACATCCACCGGTGTTTACAGAATTCTTTGTTGCTGTGATTCTTTTCACATCAGAACTATCAAATGCCTGGATACAACAACACAAGCCGCCTCAGGCAACTGGAAAAATTCGGAATTTCAGAACATATCCTAACAGAAACAGGCCACATAATGAAATACGAAAACTGTCCTTTCCTAATTCAACGCGTTACCACGCTATTGAAGGCTATTGAAGAAGAAGGTATAAGGGCTAACAATACGTAGTATCCAGTACTCAAGAACGTCAGAAATTGACTAGAATGCAATTCTGATCGATATCCCACTAGCGGCATTCCTGTCAACAATGTGTACCACTCAGAACAAGCTAATAATACTGCGCCCAATTAGAACAAGCCAGCAACATTGTGGACCAATCAGAAGTGAGAATTCACACCAGCATCCTCAGAGCCATCCCCATTACCCACTAAAATTATATATACCAGTGAACACTGAGCTCGCCAGTTATTCGTCGTTGAGACTTCGAGATATAATCTTCGTCCTCGCAGTCAACGCACATGATGTTGTCTGCCGCGGTGGCAGATGAAACTATGTACCTACCAGCCCGAATTGTGTTCTCTCCTAACGAAAAAGAAGATTGTTTTTTGAAGATCGTCGTTCACTCAGCGATTTTTTTACCACTTCACTGTTATCTCAATTTGTAACATGAATATTTTTGATTTCAGGCAATGTTCTCCCAGTAGCTTGTGTCCTCATTTTTACGAAAATGTCTTGTCTTATATATGTGCAGTGGTTACTTTGGTAGGACTATTGTCTTTGATTTTACTACAGCTACAAATAAGGAAGAATTCTCAAAGGATCTGATGCAGTATTGAAAGAATTGATGAGCGAGATTCTTGTGGCATTTGGTACAGTCAGTTATCAATCATTGGATATATTGAACAATGCGCTTATTGTATGACGGTCATTACGAATATTTCAAATGTAAAATGTCAAATGAAAGATCTAATAAACTGTGTTTATTTTAATATTGGGAAATTATACACACGAAAACATGTGAGGGTGAAATAAAACAATACAATCAAAGAAATATAATTAAGAAAATGTTCATGATCATAATACTTTTTTCAATTTCGTACATTCTTGAGGTAGAACTTTGTACTGTTATTGTATTGCGTATTAAACCGGCTATTCAACCATATTTAAAATCAGAGCAGTTACATGTGTAAAGAAGTATTCGATGTTTACAATTAGGAGGATAGATACAATGTAAAGAAAAAATGATGATATCGAATGAATTAAAAAAAGGAAAGGCAGATACTGAATTAGGCAACACACAACATAACATAACATCCAAGTCCTCAATAAATTTAATGGTGAAAGTTTTATAAGTCTTTGCTGTTTGGGCAGAAGGTGTTGGGTGATATTTATCACATAAACAGGCAATATAAATTTTTTTGTTCATTATTATACAATTTGTATTGTGATGAACTTCACTCAACATTTATCGTTTGATTCACTTCAATCGGCTCATGAATAAAAACTAAAATATGTAAAAAAAATGTTGGAAAAAATATTAAAGTTCTTTTTAGATTAATTGATAGTTCTACTCAAAAACTGAAGTCAACGCTAACGAAGTTGCTGGCAACACTTACTCTTGATTGAAAGTCTTAAAACGTTATTCATATTCTGATCACTGGTATCTTTTTCTTATGTCACCTAAATACAGTTATTCAGTTTGAAATACTAAACCCTTCATATCACTAAAAGTCTAATGGCGTCAGATTAGGTCATTCTATAGGGTTTTCGAATATTGTGGCATCCTTCGTCAATTAGATGAAGTAATTTGTTTAATCCTGAGTTTACGTTCAATTTGAAAACAATTGAACTTTTCAATGAACTTTTCGATTGATAACAAAACCCTATTTTACGCTGGAAAATTCAGAGTTTGTGGCCTTCATTCTGAAGATGCTGAATTTAGGGATATGCTTTTTATGTAATAGGATGATATTTGGAAATCAAATTGTTTTTTCATGAATCTTTGCAATGATTGTGATAATAAATCCATCATTCAGCTTCTAAACTGTATATGATTTATTATTATCGAAAAAAAGTTAAATAAAAAATATTTCATTCAAAAGAGTCTATCAAAAACAAGATTTTTCCAATAACCAGAAAAGCATTACTCCTGACTTTGGTGAAACACAGGTGATTATTTCTACGCCAGAGGTTCCAGTTTTATCTTTTATCAACAAAACAAACTTATTTCAATTGTTTTGCTCTCTTCCTCTCATAGGATTCAAATAAATAGTAACGGGAGATTTGTAAAAAGGATTTTCTCCCCTAAAATTGCCCTGTTCTTTAATTAATCTTTCATATTCAAGTCGATCTGCTCGATCTCGTTTCCACTTCACCATCAAAATGATAGCTATGCCCGCTAAGAAGGTGAAAAGAGCTATAAGTGCTCCGCCTATTGTTCCCATGAAACCTGCAGTCATGAAACACTTTTTCACTATTGGTAAATATATGGATTCGTTATAAGCGTAGTAACAGAAATTAACTTCACAACGGCTGCTTCCATCGAATATCACAGTCGAACAGATCTCGCCTGAAAAAAATATATATGAATATTGGTTGTCAATGCGAAATAGCATTCGGTACATTTTCCCATTTGCCTAAACATCTAATACTAGATGGGCTAAAAGTTCACAGGCTAACACATAGACGGCGCAAATAGTATCAAATACATATTATTAGTTTGTTAATCCTTACGTTTAACAGACATGTAAACACAATTCACAGCCGTCGGACTATTAGTTTGTGGGATAGAACATTTTGAGTGAAGCAACTCTTGTTGTTTCAAGAAAATGGATGAAAAGGATGCAAAAAATACTGTTGAATCCAAGGCTTGGCTTGATGAACATTATTCGGAGTTTGCACCAAGAAAATCAACCGTTGAGATGTGGTTTGCTGTGTTTAAACAAGGTGAAATGAGCACCGAGGATGTTGCACGCAGTGGACGCCCCAAAGAGGCTGTTACCGACTAGAACATTAAAAAAGTCCACAAAATAATTTTGTTTGACTGCAAAGTGAAGTTGATCAAGAAAGCTGAAATTCTAAAGATATCAAAGGAATATGTTGGACATCACGCATGAATATTTGCGTATGCCAAAGCTTTGTTAAAAGTGGGTGCCGCGCGAGCTCACAATCGATCAAAAACAACAACGAATTGGTGATTCTGTGCAGTGTTCGAAGTTCTTCCACCCTGAAAACCAGAATTTATGTGTCGTTATGTGACAATAGATGAAACATGGCTCCATGGACTTATACCTCCGAGATCCAGTTATCCCCCGAAGACGATTGTGGATACTAATAATGGAAACGTCGTGACGTAACTTGGTTTGGAATCTTTTCAATTTTTATTTTTCATTTTTTGTTAATGATATTTTTTAATTTTCAGCTCTTATTATTATTTCAATTTTTTATTTTTTGGTTGTAGCTGTATGCTATTTCCTTGTAATTTAAGTTTTTTGTTAAATAAATTTGTTATTTCCAGTTAATTCTTTTATTTTTTTCAGGGATTTCAAATCAATTTATATTATATTAGACAATGGATGTCCGAACTGATGAAATACACCACGAAACATTAGGTTCGTTTCAACCTGAGTCACCAACAGATTTCCAACAGTTTGTAAATCGTTGTCAACGCGCATGTCTGGTAGATATTGGTTTCTGATTAATTTGAAATTTCTGATTGGAACAGCTGACAGCTGATAGTTCAACTGAAGTTTGGCATGGAATTTCAACAACTTTAAAAAATAAATCTAATCAAGTGTATTTCTGGAGAGTAGTAGTAGTAGATTATATTTTAGGAATCCTAATATATATAGTTATGCATATATGAATAATTTATATACGTATATAATTTTACAGTGCGTCATGTATTACAATTTGATATATTCTAATGATAACTTTTTGAATACCTACTTTTAAGGAGTTTACATGTTTTATTTCATCAGGTAACTTGTTGAAACTATCAAGACCTTCAAAGAACAATGAATTCATTCCACTCTTATAGTTTGTTCGGGATCTATAAAATGTATTACATGTTCTATTTCGAACTAAATATCTGCTGAGATAGGCTGGTTGTATCCCACTCGAAATTTTGAAAATAAAAATCATGCTCAAATAATACATTCTTTTATGTACCGGCTGCCACTGTAGAGTATTTAACATAGATTCAATAGGGACTGGTTACGTCTCAAAATGATTCTCATACCTCGATTTTGTAGTTTCTGCAACTGTCCCATTTGATTTTGATTGAATAGATACATCAGTGTGGCACAGTAGTCAAAGTGTGGCCTCATTATGCAGTTGTAAAAAAATTTCATTTTATTGTCAAAAAATGCGTACAACGTGAAATCAACTGACGTGTTTCAGCGTTTTTTTCCTAAAATACTAGTTAAAAAGATATTCATTTTATTCCGGACTTTCGCGCACCCCTGTATAAATAAAAGTGTGAACATGTAAAAATGTTGAATAATAAATATCGAGATGAAAATATGACGTTTCAGGATATCAAAATACTCGAATATACCGATATACAGGTACTAAGTGCACTTAGGATGATATTATGAATATCTAAAATTACTTTTAATTTTCAATTATTGACCGTATAGGTATAATAACGAGGCGATAGTTTCATGAATAGTTTTAAATCTTTTTTGAATCTGAATGCTGACGTTTCGTTTTGCAGTTTTTCGGGAAGGAGATTAAATACTTTTGGTGCTAAATATTGATAGCATTTTTGGCCTATTGATTTCGAAGCGAAGAGTATTAAATAATAATTTCTTTGTCTTGTAGTATAGGTATGAGAAGTTTTAATAAGTTCGGTCTTATTGAAGAACTGAGTTGTAGCGATGTCTTTAACGAATATTTGTCTGATATCAAAAATCTCAAACTCTTCATAGAGAGCATCACTTGCGTATCTGTTGTTTTTGAAAAGTATAATTCTTAGGAATCGTTTTTGCGTTAGGTTTTGGAAACCCCTCCTCATCCGACTATTTCATATTTTAGGTGTGATTCTATGAAACTTTGGTAAAGATTCAAATATGATTGATATGATATGATTTCAAATATGTCTGCTGTTCTCCTGATTCTATATAGAATACACCGTAGTGTTTTTACTAGATAATCTATATGTGAGTTCCATTTGAAGTGCTTATCAATCATTATACCAAGATACTTAGTTTTATCTGTTGACATAATGGTGAGGTTATTACTGATAGAAATTTGATTGGAGTTTTATTGCTGCTAAAAGGTATGAAAATGTTTTTCCAAAATTGATTGACAGCAATCTATAATTCAACCATTTCATTATCTTGGGAGAGTCATTTTCGATTTTATGTTTTAATTCCTGCCAAGTGTCACTTTCATATAACAAGACATTGTCGTCCGCAAAACTTATCATTACATTCAGCTCCTGTGATGTATACATATATCGTCCAGGTAAACAGTGAAGAGTGATGACCATAACACGGTACCTTGTGGTACACCACATGTAATTATTTGTTCCTTGCTGATGTGGTTTTGAATTCGCACTTGTTGTTTTCTTCCAGTTAAATATGATTTCATGAGATTTTATACTGTACCTCTCATACCCATATCCTCTGAGGCTTGCAATATAATGTAGTGATGAACAGTATCGAATGCTTTTTTCCTTAATATTTCTGTACAATCTTTTGAACAATAAAATTGATTCCTGTGAATTATTATCTTACATCAACATATTTGTACCCCGGCAAACATCTCAAAAAAGCTGCACTTTTATGTGTAAACGGGCGCAAACTAACCTTATGCTTGAGGCACCAATCTATGTAATGTGAACGAACTATAACAAAATTTGTGAATATTGTGATATTTTTTCCTGTTCTTTAGTCGAATTACAAAATGAGTCTAGAGAATGTTTTTTTGCCACCAAAAAGTAGTTATTTAATAGTAGTGAAAATATGATAGTGGTAGCAAAAAAAATGTCAGCAGCAGTTACTTTTCAAACAGAATTTTCTCAGTGTATTTCTGTTAAAATTTGTTTCCAATTATAACTTTTATAAATATGCGACTCTTCTCTGCAAATTACAAAATTATGGAGAAAGAACAAGCAAAAGCGTTTTTGAAAAGCTGATGGAGAAGAAGGCACATTTTGAAGAGAATGGAACAAGACGTTTATAAGCGAAGAACCGTTTTGTTATGTTGTGGTAACGCCCTTAATGCTAAGAAAATCGAAACTATTGAAAATATTGAGTTGTTTGCTAATATCTGCACAAGCATTTGTAATATAAAAAAACGAGAAAGATAAAAGTCCAACCTACTTCTATTGCACGCTGGGCAAATAGAAGTTTACATGCTGGCGCTAAAGAAATACAGGAAGGTAGGCCTTCAAAGTTGGAAGTTTTGAGAAACAAAAAGAGATTGAAAAATATGAGATCATTAAGTGAAAATATTGAACTTAATCAACCAAATGCTATCAGCCATGGATGTAAACATTGTGCTACTTGTATACATATTTCTGCATTTATTCGTATTTATTAAATAGGTGTTTATTAAGTACGTATTACACAATGTTACCTACTATCAGAATGTATGGATATGACACATTGAATTGATATTATACATTACAAATTATTACCCAGCTTGTTTTCAATACTTTTAGAAAAAGCCGTCAACGAGGTTTGATCCAGACGTTGTTCAGATTGTCTATAATTTGTCACCATTGTCAGATGCTGCCATAAAAACACTAGCAGTTCGGAAGAGAAAAAGTGGAAGAAGCGAAATTCTAACATCATCACCCTACAAAATTGCTGCTGAAGAGAAATAGAATAAAAAAAAATTAAGGAAAAAAGAAAAGAATGGGATCCAAGTTCAAAACAGCAATAGAAGAGAAGGAGCAACGAACCAAAGATGTGAAGGCAAAAGGAAAACCTCGACATGAAAGAAAAAGGAACCATTAACTCAAATATGTAACATCGGAAAAACTACTTGCGTAGTGTGCTTAGAGGACCACGAAGAAGACAGGATATAATGCTCTATTTATCAAGAGTGGGCTCATGAAGCATGTGCCGGCATTCCTGAATGTAAAGATGTGTATATATGCGACCGATGCACGCCTAGGGGTTCGAAGCCGAGTCCGTCCGGTAGTAGGTGCCAGTGCCAAAAATTTTATTTTTCGTACCAAAACCTTATTTAAGTTCCTAAATAAATTCAAGCAAAAGGTTTATTTATGATAATTGATTTTGATTTTATAATTGGTTGACTTGAATATATAAATAAAGTTACATTCCTCGAAGTAGTTTTTATTTTATTTTCTGAAAACCTTAGCTGTCCATCACTAGGGGACTTCCCCCTAACTAGTGTTTTAGAGAGTAATTTTCACATATTAACACATGTATGGACAATGCAATATATCTCAGAAAATATATATCATGAAATAGGTTTATAATCAGAAGGGACCTCCTCCTCCNACTGTTTTCAGTTGGATTTTGTTCAAAATATATCTGAGGTTTTTTAGTTTGTAAATTAAGAAAATGTAGTTTTTTGATCTCATACGCGACATGCTCATTCCACTTTAGGTGACTGGGAATAATCACACCTAGATATTTAAATTCAAATGTGGATTCTATTGAAAAATCGTCAGAAAGTAGTGAAGGACGGCAAAGTGGATATATTATTGGATAATGGAAGAAACAATGGTTTGCTAGGATTTATGGTCAGCAATCGACTTTGAAACCATGATTTAATTCCATACAGATCTCTTTCTATTAGTTCTTTCAGAGTATTCCATTCTTGGGCTGAGTAGAAGATTGCTGTATCATGTGCATACGTGATTATTTATCCTTCGGTATCGACTTCAAATAAATCATTTGAATAAATGTTAAATAGGATTGGTACTAGTAGGGTTTCTTGAGGACACCATACGTTACTGCTTCGGGTTTGCTATGGATATTCTTCAGTTTGATTATTTGCGGTCTATTTGAGAGATAGCTCCTGAACAAGTTCAAAGCTTTACCTCTGAAAAGGTGACTTATGAACGCTCCTTTTTTCTTCGCGGCTGGCGCCCCAGTAGAAATATTTAAAAATCATATGTAAACGCCCCTCTTACTCTTACCCCGTGAGGGTAAGAGGGTGCATTTACATATGAAAATTTGAAAATCATTTTTTAAGGGGCATTTTAGACCTAAGAAGACCTATACCAAATTTCAGCTTCCTAGGACTCACCAGTCCTTCAACTTATTTCTTTACTATATTCTCAACCATGTCACTTTGTGATTAACCGAATATTATATCCCGAGTTCCATCGGTTGAAATGAGGGAAAATCCATAATTTTCGAAATTTTGCTGAGCAAATGACTTGAGTGTACCGTAAAAACTTCTTATCCTTCAACATTTTCATCGTTTTCTAGGGACATATCGTCCTATTCTATTGCAAGTAAACAATGAAATGAAGTTACAATTGTAATTGCAAATATTAAACTTGTAAAATACACCTGCCATTCTTCCAAAAAAAAAAAACTTTGGAGCAAAGCCTGAACCTTCTTGGGTATAAGTTGAATAAATTTATTCCGACTGAGGGGAAAATTGGTAAAAAGAAAGTTGATTACGTTAGATCTTCATAATCAACTGCATAAATCACTCTTGAATAGTATTATGGTGCCTCAAAATGATTAATACATCAATAAAATACAATTTTCAATGAATTGACTTATGTAGTCGTTACTATGTGGTAGAAGAACATCATGAAAAATGAATAATGAAATTTTCTATGTTTTTTTACCACTTTTTACATCAATGTATGAGTCTTTAGTTTCAAATGAAAGTGATAGAAAACAGAAATTTTCATTCTCCATTTTTCAATAGAATTTTCATCAAAGTGTCTATAACAAACTGCATCTTCACGGATGCATTTCTAGGATTTGCTTTGAAATTAATGAATACATTCATGAAAGTGTGATTCAGAATGATTTTGAAAACGATTATGAAGAATATTACTCCTCATCCTCGTTTTCGCACTTTGTGGTTAGCAGTACAGTTTGATTTAACGAAGTAGATATAGAAAATTCATGTCCCATCGTTCGTAATCTACTCACCACAATTGGATTCCTTCAGATCCTTCTGTTCAAATATTTTGATTCGACTATGGTTTTCTTCGGCATTATTATCGGTGATATTTTTCCCTACAACAAAATCCTCAACTGGGGAGTCATAGGTTTCACATATTGTGTTATTGTTCTCTCTGTTGGACTCGCAGTAGTTTCCAAAGAAACCTTCTTGACATTTACATCGATTGCATTCACATGTTCCCCTTTTACTGCAAACTGTTCCATCGAAGGTGCAATCGATAGTGGACAGAGAACAAGAACAAGTTTCACCGACGTATCCACTTTCGCAAATACATTTTCCCTCGATACATTCTCCTTGTGCAGGTCCTCCGCATATTTGGTTCTTGTAAAGGGGGCATTCGAATTCGCAGTACTTTCCCTGATAATAAGAATCCTTGCATATGCATTTGCCACACTCGCATACACCACTACGGAAAATAATCAAACAATTACCAAGTTAAATACTTTCAATTCGTATTATTTCAATCATGAAAACTATTTTTCAATCTGTCTGTCTTCATTGTCTTCATTGTCATTGTCATTGTCTTCATCTTCATCTGTCTGTCTGTATTGACGTTTGACCAATAAAAGCAATCACAATGACTTGATAAGTGGAATTTGGAACCTCTGGCGTGAAATTATACTATTGAAGATAACTTTCACTCACCAAAACAAGTATTCTATCACTCAACGCGCGTTTCGCTAAACAAGTTAGCATCATCAGGAGATGGTCAGTCATCCCCTGATTATGAATGAATGGAGTTGACTAACTCGACAAACTTGCCGAACTGCTTACTTGTATTAGTAAAACAGACTGGGTTATCATCTCATCTTTGCTGCATGAATTGAACTTTTCATTGAATCGAAAATAATTTTGGGATAGACAAATAGTAGGTCGATCTAGAGTTTCCCGTTTTATTACAGGATCAATGTGGTTTCTGTCTAAGAACGCTCAACTAGCTCAACTGTTTCAATTGGCGGAATACTGGAAAACAAATTTTGAACATCAAACGATATGAAATCAGGAAGAGTTGGTTTTTTTAATGTTATTCACTAATTGATATGCATCATTTATAGTAAAACGCGGTTATTATTAGTGTAAGTTTTTATTATTTGTACTCGTATGAGCATTCATGGGATGTTACATACGACACGACATGTCCAATTGGAAAATTGGTTGGATGTATTTCAATGAAAGAACAAAGTTTTGGTGGTTGAGGGTTCATGATCCATTATTGTCCAGTCCATTATTTTCCAAACTGCGATTTTTCCAATTCGTTTATGATAGTTCCAACCTTTCAAAAAGGTTGACAATGATCATAGTTGGCAAATACATATATAGCTGAGGAAAATTGGTATTGACTGCATATTTTTCAATCTGAAGCGTTTGAAAACCTTCTTAATGTAAGAATTAGATTGTAACAATATCCCACCAATCGTACAAAACACTTGTAACAAAACAATTTTGCTAGTTGTTACCATTTGTAACAATACTAATTACTGTTCATGACCATTTGTAGCAATATGTGTTAGCTATAACCATTTGTAATCCTCTCGCTATGCCGGGATTGTTTTGTTAATTCAATTTGGCAGTTGCTGTCACCAGACGCGAATTTCTCCACATCAAATATTTTGGATGGTAAAGCAATCCCGAAAGGAGCTTGAATTCTGCCAACTGAACCAAGAGGAGATCTTCAGTTGCATTTGAGAAGGATTTTAAGAATTCGCAGACATTACTTCCTAGATTTTGAAATTGAAGCCGGTTTCCAATCCATAAACTACTATTTTCAACAATGAAGAAGCAAACCAAATGAAAGAAACCAAAAACAAGATTATAATAATCAAATCTCAGATAAAAACTCAAATTTGGTGCCTTCGTCGTGATTTCCTACCATATACGAGATTGACTGTACCTAACTAATTTTTTTATCCACTCTGTGTACTGATTTTTTGGCTAACTATTCTCCAAAATTCAAATAACGGTTACTGCCCATATACAGTTTACTCACAGTCGCTTTTATAACTCGTCCCGGCTAATCCTGCGGGTTATCCAAAACGATATCGTGTATCGTGGATATCAAGATATCACGTGTAACACTATTATACTCTGTTTTGGCGTACGAAAATTCATATCTATTTTTCGCACTGAACTGCTCGATTCCCGCTCGAACTCACACGCTTTTTGATACCCTCACGACAGAGTAAAAAACATGTGAGCCTCGGGACCCCTGACAGAAGTGATAATTTAAACTAATCTAAGTTGAACTATTTGATATTGAAATTGTTCACCCTGAGAAAAGCTCAGGTTGTTACTCAAATTTTATGTGTATTAATATGATAATATAAAGAAAGGTTATTTATTAATAAAATCACTTCAATGAAATGAATAAAAACACTTTTGTCTAATTTCCACTGGTTATTTTATTTGTACGACCGGTTTCGGGTTTTACCCTATTATTAACAATAAAACTTGAAGTATAAATCTTGATAATGGTGAAAAACCCGAAACCGGTCGTATAAAAAAATAACTAGTGGAAATTAGACGAAAGTGTTCTTATTCATTGAATTAAAGTGATCATGAATTAATTTCCACAAAAGAAACAAGTCAACAACCACACAGATATTATTGAAATATTTTATTGATTATTTTGTGTATGTACATATATTATAGCTACCATAGGCCGATTGTAACTTTTGTAGGATTAAATAATGATACAAATAATGTACATACACAAAATTAGATTTTTATAATACTGTCAACAACAACACTAATCGTATGTTAGATGAGAGAGGAGGAGCCTGCCTTCCGCTAACGTATGCGTGAGAGAAAGGGAAGCCAGACAAACTGGCGTCGTTACGTGCTAGGTAACGAAGCGGTTTACCCTCGCATGAGAAATTATCACTTCAAAAATATATTTCTAATCGCATCAACCGCCCGCTTTCCAATATTCCAACTCCCTTTTTGGGGCACTTGACCTGCTCTCGATAACTGTTTTCCACTTATCTCCCTGTGACCGACTCTCGACGAAACTCTTGTTTGAACCACTTGCCTCTGCTCGCTTGACAAAATTTCCGCTCGACTCCACTAAGACGACTGCCTCCCAAAAAACTCCCATACCAAGCAATCGCGGGTACTGTGACATAATTTTTGTAACCTCCCGCGATCAATCGCGAGAGATTTTTTTTCTCTGAGGTGATCATTATTTGCCAAACTTATCATTGATTAGCCTATGGCCCCGGCTCAGTTGAGATGGTTGCTAATTTTCTGTCGTTCTCATCAAACGGGCCCACGCGAAGTAGTTCAAGAGATAAACCAAATTTTGCTTAGCTAAGCGGTCTACAGATATATGGTCTGAAAGCTGATATATTTTTGTCTGTTCTTTTGTCGATTCTAACCCATGAGTATTCCTCTGATTACGCGTCTATCGAAAAAAACCGCATTTGATTTCTATAAACATTTCATGGCCGCACCACAGTAAAAGTTGTATTATTCTACTGTGTGACTGGTCGCTCAATAACTGATAAATTTCCGTTTCGATGGTGTGACCTTTCCAATGTCATTAACTTTTATGAGTCTAGCATCTCAACCAAAAATGTCATTATTAGGCGGCACGATTTTAAATTGTAAATATGACAATGTAATGGCTTAACATTTTTATCATTCTTGCCTAATCCCTCCTAATGATTATAACACTATTGATACTTACTTTTCGCTACACAATTGTGAATATTTTCCATTCTCGAGTTTCCTACAGGAAACAGTCGTTTCATCACATTCTTCGGTACAGTTTTTTCCTTTCCTATAAAAAAGTGATGATTATTGTTTGGCATTTTGGATGTGCGATGGAAATAATTATTCCAGTGTTTAGCTACCTTTCTGGGTTTCCACTTATCATAATCTGAAGAATAAACGAAGCTGAATTGATAGAGAATCTGTTGAAGTGTATTTATTTTTTTAAGGATAAAACACAAGCACTACAGGACAATCCTCAAGGTGCCGGTGCGAAAGTAGTAATTATTCCACATAAACGTCGTTCTCCAGATGAAAGAGTTCGTAAACAGTGAAGTTTGAGATGAATTGAGTTTAGCGTAAACTGTAACAACGAGACATGTGTGCTTTCGTTAGCAAACCAATATATTGGATGCCTGGTTTTTTCCAGTAAGTCGTTTAGCAGCCACAGTCCGGCGCGTATTTCTAATATGTACCGCTCTTGATGGAATCAAATGTGCCATGTCACTTGAACACCTTCCGTGAAGGTATCTATAGAAGAGAAACTAACCTTTCTTCGATGTTCCAGACTATCAAGGTTGCAAGTGATGTTAGCGGTTCCATTCACGCAGATGACTCTTTTATGGATGGAATCCAGCAGCTTCATGGTATGTTTGGGGGCGGAGCTCCATACATGAGAACAATACTCTAAAGAAGGTCTGATCTGAGCTTTATAAAGCATCAAAAGTTGCTGAGGTGTACAGTTTTCTGGTTCGAAACAGTGTTCGAACAAGCTTTTGAGAAGCAGCTTTTGCAATTTCAGCGACATGATTGTGGTAAGACACATTGGGGTCCGTTCTAACCTCCAACAAACTTATCAAAGCAGAAAGCGGAATTGTCTCCGGTTCGGAGACAATTGACATTTTGGAGAAAACCGATGCCTGGGTTTTTGTGGCATTGAATTGAACCTGGTTACTTTCACCACAATTCGAGATTACTTCCAGATTCTCACTGAGATATTCAACCTGCTGTCCCGGAATCCAAATGTAATAACGAGACATGTGTGCTTTCGTTAGCAAACCAATATATTGGATGCCTGGTTTTTTCCAGTAAGTCGTTGATATACGATAAAAAGAGGATTGGAGACAATATGGATCCCTGGAGAACACCAGCGTTGATGGTGAAATTATTCAAGAGATATCCATCGACGGCTACTTGCAGGGAATGTTTTTTCAGAAAGCTGAAGAGCTATACACAAAAATGATCTGACAAGTCATAGCATCGAAGTTTGGCCAGTAAACCCTCATGCCACACACGGTCAAAGACCCTAGAAATATCAAGCGCAACAGCTCTTGACCCTCCATGTTTCTTGATTGCGTTATTCCAAATATGGGTGATATATGATAGAAGGTCGCCTGTTGATCTTCGTTTCCGCAAGCTATATTGATAATCGCTCAAGATGTTGAAGCCTTCCAAATATTTGAGGATATGGTGGTTTACGACTTTCTCCAATGAAGAGTCAAATTAGTCAGTACTGGTATATTGAAAAATGATGCCCTTAGATTGGACCATCTTAAAAAAATCACTTACTTAGCTTCCTTCTCTTGGTTGACGTTTCGGAAAATGATTCCTTTTCTACTGCCAAAGCTTAAAAATTCACGTATGAAAGACGTCTCAATCGGAAACAGATATATTTCTTTTGATAAACGTTAAAATGATGAAATGTTCAGATGTCATATTCGATACTTTATGTGAATAGACATACAGGATGTTTCCCAGTAAGGTATGGCGTTGGTTGTCAAATAGTTTGTTGTTGTTGGGTTTGTGATGATTGTATTTCCATAATAGCTCTTTCTACTGAATGTTCTGGGTACGCGTTTTTCTCTAAAATAACTATTTCCTCTTCCAAAAAAAATAATGTGTACTATCGAAAATAACACCTAGACATTGGATTGTTTTAACGTTTGTTAAAGGAAATACCTCGTTCCGTTTGAGGCTTAAGTGATTTTTTTTTGTTTCGAGAATGTAAAGGTAACCCCTTATGAAACATAAAGCATCCAGGAATCTAATTTAATTTTTGTTACTGATTACTTAATTTCTTGACAACATTTAAGAATATGACAAGTTTTTGCCTATTCGAACCTGCAGTGGTTTATAATACGCAGTATATTTTCAAACCTTTCAGTTTGCCCTTCATCCAACTTCAGTTGGTTCCCTATTGATTCAACATTGTTTATTTCCAGATTCTGAAAAATAAATACTCCAAAAAGTAGCGAGAAACATTGACATCTCCACAAAAATGTCTTTCAAAGAATATATTCCAAAAGCGTTCCATATGAATGCCTCAAAATTTGCCTCAAAATTTTCCTCAAAGTTTCAATACTACAATTGAAATTCAGGTTGAAAAACTTGAAGATATCGATTTCTGCCTTTTGAGTTTCATACCCTCACAATATTTCGTGAAACTTCATAGTTAGCTTCAGTTTTCTAAGAGTTAATTACATTCATTTGATGAAGACATATTCTAAATACAAACTTTGGTATTGGCAACTGTTACATGATACCCTGAACTAAGAGTGTCTATCAACAAATGTATCCAATCGTCCGTTTCCAAATGACAAACTCTGATATTGATAATAATTGATACTGTCGATTTCAGGTATCCCCGAATCGTCCAAATTCCCATTGATGGAATTAGCCATTACTAACGTATTCAAAAAACACTTTATTGTGAGATTTTCACTAAACAATTTTACAAAAACGCAAAACGTGTTTCGTCATACAATAGCTTCTTCGGGCGTGTCTTTACTAGTAAAGTCTTTGCAAATATATCGATGGATTTTGACTGATCGTCATCGAAAAAAATCATGAAAACAAGTTGTCATCCATCCAGTATTCGGAATTATGCCCTGATTTTCAATTTCGAAAATTTGAGCGGTAGGTGAAGTATGTTTAGACCAATATACAAAAAATCAAATGTTTTCTCTTTATACTGCCTATTTAAAAAAAAATCTGTTTAAAATCTACTTTTTCGTTAACCAGCTGTCGCACCCCTATGAACGACAACCCTCAGAAGTCGAAACTTGTGCGAGCTAAGGACTACCTTTTAACGTGTGATTCCTAACACGAGTTGGACGATAGCAAGTGAAAATCGATCGTTTAGCTTGGGGCTTGAACCAGCGACCAACACGGCGGTCGGTTTGAGTGAACAAAGCACCCTCGTCGAACCGACCAGCTACCGTCCAACCATGTCAGTTTATATCTTCCAGATTGGACATAAACGCACGGACTTTTTTGGGCAATGATGGGTACTATAAACATGTACATTATTTTATGTATAATCAATAATTTTAGAAGCGCACGATGCTAATTATTACATCATTGCAATTATCGAGAAATATCTTTTTTCTTAATAATAAAGTACAATCCATGTTACTCGCTGTATTATTGGTGAAACACTAATTTTCGAAATATGTTGTATAGTTTTTGAATTCAGACATTATAACCACACAGACAATCAAATCTTCTTCTTTATATAATATCAGTCTGTGAAGAACTTAAGACATACCAGCCTTGTTTGCAGATGCAGTCTCCACATCCATCGATCTCCCCATTCTCGCAGTGTTCTACTTTTGACTTATTCACACATTTACAAATTCCCGCGTACGATATAGAAACTTCCAGTCTCTCTGCAATATTTTTTTCCTCGACGAATAATGTATCCATTTGTCCCTAAAATCGTAATTCATACATTTTTTTTCAATTTAGGTTATACATGAGCCAATACAAGATTTGATTCGCACTTAAAAAAATTTTCGAAACTTAAAGGTCACTATATTTCCTTCAATGAAAAGAAAAACAAATGAAATGAAATGTGGACGTTGTTAATATCAAGACAAGCCAAGATTTTCCTGTTTATGTGAGCAAACGCCTCATTCCCCTATATCATGTAAGTTATAGAAATGAATATTATGGTCAACACTAAAGCAAGAAGTAGAGAGTATAACTCCATATTCTTTCTCCCTTGAAGTGAAACCATCTACAGAGATCATACATTTTGTATCGTTCCAAAACTATCTAATAGACCACAAGGTTCCTGCTAACTCGTTCTTGAACTCACCCTTTCTGAATATTCTGGATGTTTTTCGAGCGTAAGGGTCACTCTGAAGTTTACAGGTTTATCTTTAATTCCATAACATGAGGAAGTTCGGTTGAATCGGCCTTTATTTTCACAGTCAGCTTCGAATTCCACCTTGATATTTGGGTGATTTGTAGTATTGATGTAAAAATTCACTTGCTCTGCGAAGTTATAGTAACCTACGAAAAAATATAATGAAATTTCATATCAAAATGTTGATAATAAGCTTCAAATGAAGAATTTCACTGGCAAATACTTTTTGAAATAATAATAATAATGAGTAAATTACTCATCATCGATTTCCTGATGCAAAAATGATGGATTCAAAGGAATTATTGAAAAGTTAAAAGTAATTTTTTCTGTGTTTGAAGGTGGTAGACAATGTTTTGTAGTGTATTTCATTAGTTCGGACTTCCATTGTCTAATATGATATAAATTGATTTGAAATCCCTGAAAGAGTCTATGAAAATTAAAAAGATTGGCTGAAAACTAACAATTATATTAAGCAAAATTACTTAAATTACAATGAAATAAAATATAAGTAACAATTGAAAATTGAACTATTAACAAGAAATGAAGATTAAACATTATTAACTAGAAATGAAAATTAAAAATTGAAAGATTCCAAGGCAAGTTACTTCACGATGTTTCGATTGTTAATATCCACAATCGTCTTTGGGTGACGACTGGCATTATTCGTGTGATCTTGGCCTAAACAGGTTGGAGCCTGGCTCCCTTAATCTTTCGAATTGTTCTGGCCTGCACGTCGTCTTGATTTCAATCAGGTTGGAGCCTGGCTCCTTTACCCTTTGAACCGAGATCTGACTATTCATAGGTCATTTGAGTGCTTTCACCTATCCCCTCTTCCCTTTCTCAGTTTCATCGGTTTTAGCGGGAACTGACCGTTTGGCGGTAGTTGCGATTGGGTTTCGCTTGATTAAAGGTTTCCATATGTTACGTATTTCTACGCTAGCTTAGCTAATTGCGTTGTTAGAAAACATAAATGCGGCTTCTTTGAATTTTCTCTTAAACCAGTGTTCCTCCTTGTGCACGATTTCAGCTTGAGACTACTCGATGTTATGTTGATGAGTCCAAACATGCTCTGCTATTCCTAATTTGCTGGTTTCTCCTCGCTGTGTGTATTTCTTGTGCTCGGCAATGCGAACTTTCAATGGCCTCTTAGTTTCACCGATGTATGATTCTCCGCACTCGCAGGGTATCCGGTAAATGCAATTCTTGGAATCGCAGTCCGCGTTTGGTGGCCTGGTTTTCGTGAGGCTGCTACGGATAGTGTTCCCAGATGTGAAGCAGGTTCTGATGTTATAATTGGACCCAATTCTTCTTATCCTTCTCAATAATTCTCTGATGTAGGGAAGTACTAGTACTGGTTGTGGTGGCTTTTCTTCCTTGTGAGGCTCTTGCTGTTTTCTAGCCAAAATCTGTTCCACCATCACTTTGGAATAACCATTTCGATTAAGGTCATTTTTGATGATGCCCAGTTCCTTTTTGGAGACCTTCCTTTATTTCAGAGCCCGAAAGCACGGTCTACTAGAGTCTTGATGATTTCTCTCTTAGTCGATTGATTGTGGTTGGGTTCCTGGTTCAGATACTGTTCCTTGTGAGTGAGTTTTCGGTATTGTCGGTCTTCTTCATCAATACGTCTAAGAATGGCAACTCGTTGTGGACTTCCTTCTCCATTGTGAAAGTGATAGAGAGACTCACATTGTTGATGTGCTTCAGGAAGGTGTCTAGTTTTCAATTGCTGTTTGTATTTTATTTCAATGTAATTTCAGTTTTTTGCCTAATATAATTGTTATTTTTCAGCTAATCTTTTTAATTTTTATAGATTTTTTCAGGGATTTAAATTCAATTCATATCATATGTCCGAACTAATGCAATTTTTTCTTTTCTATGGTAAACAAGGTAAGTAGAAGTAACTCATGAGATACCTCACCTTCCTCTATTACTTGAAGAATATTCCCAGAATTTGGATCCAATTTTGTAACAAAACTATGGTCCGTCAATAAAGACTTGCTGAGTGACTCGTAGTATTTGAATTTAGGTCCATCCTTCACTGCAAAAATGATATTGACCTAGAAATTATCAAATTGATAGGAAGATTCAGTAGATGAGTGGTTTCGATAAGCTGAAATATGTGGTACTTTTTAAATTACAAAGGAATATGCGAGTTACACTGAATTCATTCGAAAATCTTAAGAAATGATAGTATAACCTTAAAATCGACGGATAACTTCAAACGAAAGTGAAATTCAATGAAGAAAGCTAGTCTAGGAAAATTTGCACGAAATATTATAAATGGCTAGAACTGCATAGCTTATACGTAGACTGTTCAAAAAAATAAGGCGAACGTACAAATTACGCGTTCTGCGTACATTCGAATAGAGATTTTTTCTAATTTTTTTTATGTTGATACACACATCTAGAACATACGTTCACAGTTTCAGCTTTATAGAATGTTAAGTTTGTTGCGTGTTCGGTCATTTTCTGCTATCGAAAAAAAATGTGCATCAAATTTTGTGTAAAATATGGAATTGTGTGCTCAAAAACACTTGGAATGTTGACAGTGTCATACGGCGATTGTACTCTGAGTCAGAAATGGTACGAAGGTCGAAAAGATGTGAATGACAACGCTCTCTCTGGACTCCTCAGCACGTCAACAAACGATGAAAATGTTGAGAAAGTGAAGAAAATTGTTATGAGGAATCGTTAAATCACTATTAGAGATGTTGCAGAGGATGTCGGCATATCAGTTGGCTCATGCCATGCATTTTTTTTGTAAATTTTGGGCATGAAGCATTTGGCTGCGAAGTTCGTCCCTAAATTGCTGAATCTTGATGACAAAAAAAACCCTTGCAAGAGCATCGCTCAGGAATTGTTGATTGATATCAACGGCATTCCAAATTTGCTCAAAAGGGTCCTAACTGGATACGAATCATTGGTATTTGTTTATGACGTGAAATCAGAGTCCAATTGTCCCAATGGAAGAGCCAAAACCAAAAGAAGCACGCCAAGTTTGATCAAAGTTTTTGCTCACTATTTTCTCCGATTAACGTGTCGTAGTGCATCAATGTATTACAACGGAGGGGGACTACTTTGGAGGAGATAAAATAGAAATTGATGAATAAATGAATATTTTTGAGAAAACAGAGTAGTATGCATCTAAAAAAAACGTTCTTCATTTGAGTTCAACTACGGGAAAGAAATGAATAGAAATTAACTACTTTGATAAATTGACTTGGTACACTTATGAAAATATCATTTATGGAATCCTTTTAACATTGTTCAAAGCGCTGTATGGTCTTCAGAGAGATAGTTCACAATTTAACCTTCAAAATATACAGGAATATTGGTTAGGGGTACAGCCTATGAACTCTTTGAATCTCAGCCAACAGAAGAAAATAGAAAACAAAATCACAAAGCACAAGTTTCCCGCCGCATATGTGTTTGTCTGTCTGAACGCCATAAACTCAAAAGCTACAAAACGGATTCTCACACGGTTTTCACCAATAGGTAGAGTGATTCATGTGGAAGGTTTCTGTATTTCAATGATGTTTTATGTGTAGTGGTTGAAATATGACGATGCTACCCGTTGCATTCAGATCGCACTATCTGATTCAACATGCCTGTTGACAGTTTACTAAGTATACAACTCAATACAAATTTTGATATTTTGGTATCAGTTTTATAAAATCCTTTCATGGCAATATATAATTCAACAATTATCAAATGAATTCACAACTCAGTTGCAAACTATTTCACTCACCTTTTTCTGTTGCATTAATATTGTGATCTGCTCCAAAGATGGATAATCATACTTCAACGGTTCAGCATGATTTCCAGTTTCATCCAGCATACATTTTTCAGTTGGTTTCAGCACAGCACCTACTAACTTGCCATCTCCAGCTGTGTGCAAAAGACTATCAGTTGGCAAAATAATTATTTTCCGGGAGAAGCTTGACCAACCAATCTTTTTTCCACAGACCAAGATTTGCAAAATTGCATCGAGTGCACCATCTAGATCATCCACGTTGGCGGTAATTGTGCTGTTATTAACCTGAAAACAGGTAAATGAATGAATGTCAACGAATTCGGGTCATCCAACGTATATTACTATGTTGAAAATGTAAAAATGTCAGTTGAAAAACCCAATTGAAGTTTGTAAAGTATGCATATTCTTGAATAACTTGAATAACTGAAAAATCAGATTACAAAATTGGAAATTGAATGTGCAATGAATGAAACTATTGTTGTGAATCATACCCTAAAAAAATAACGTTATTGAATTCCGGCTTCGATGGAATCCCGGCGAATATTCCACCGGCTTCGATGGATTTTCGTAGAATTTTCTACGGCCTTCGATTACCACATGTAAACACAATCCACGCGCCTATCGGGACAGTCAAGTGGAAGTGACAGTACAGTACGCGGAGCGATCTAATAAGGCGATAGAAATTTGAATAATAGTTGAAGTTTTAGTTAAAGTGTTCTGTTATATTAATAGTGAAATAAAGTTGAGTTCGATTATTGTTCAGTTCAGTTAATTATTGGTTAACCCACGGAGAAAAACGTAACAGTATATTGAACGCTGACTAAGACGACAAACAACATAAATGATTATTATTCTTTGTGTAACGAAAATAAAGCTCCATTAATAGTAGAACTCATGAGCAGAATAATATTACAAAGTGCAACAAACACAAAAACATCATCATGAAAAATATACACGAGCAAACACAATTACGAAGTCATCAAAATTTTGTGGTGTGAACTCCAGGGCAACTCCATTTTGCAATGTAGACGTTAATTTGCCTGCCATCTATTTGTGGAACTCTGAAAATTTTTGGTTTTCATAAATATTTACAAAGTTTTATAAATAGTTTCATCTGCTTTTTTAAAACATGGAAAAATTGTTCTAAAGATTCATTTCGGGGAAATTGTGTAATACCATGTAAAGTCAACCCTAGATAGTTATTGGATCAGTTTGAATAATTGATGGAGGAACTGTCAACTGTGTATTATTTTGAATAATAATAGAAGGTTTGTTCTCCAGAGCCATCAAAAGGGAATCAATTTCTTTTATGAAATGACATTTTTCAATTATTTAATCCAAATCATTCCCCTGACCACGTGGGTGGTTGTCAATTGTTCTTATTTTGCTGACTTTGTATCAATAAATTTGAGAGTTCTCTTCATGATGATGTATGTTTCCTGTAAATTTACAGCATAATGGAAATATTGAACCATCCACACATAGTTTACTTGCAACAGCTGGATCCATCAATGTTGTTATGTTGCCTTCATCCAATAAAGTCGAAATGTTGAATATTCTTTTGTTATCGTTGATTTCAGCTAACATCATATTCTATATATTCCATCCATTTCTGACACATAAATTTGAAGTGATTTCTGATATTTTTAAGGTATTTTTAATATATTTATGAAGAGAATTATGATGCAGTGAAATATGCAGTGATTTTTTTATTACTTTTCATGGTGTTGCAACGAACAAAAAAAAAACGGTTTTTGTAAAACCTTTTATAATAAAATCATACAATAAACTGTATTGATCAGTTTCAATATGGATTTTCATGAATTATCGGCAAGTTCTATTCAATTAAGAAATTTTTGGACTCATTTCTATTTTTGTCCGTGTTTGAAATTCTGAGCAATTTGCCACATAATGTTCATCTGAGTTACGGATTTCGCAATTTTTCTAAGGCATTCCATAATTTGAACTACTGTTAAACCATTCCTTCTACTGTCAACGTATTTTTAGGAGCAATTGAAGGTATCTCAATCAATTCATCTTCACTCAAACCATGCTGTTATTGAGCCGCAATACTTTTTGTTACAGATAAAAAAATATCAAACCGCAGTGAACAGTTCATATTGGAATAAAAATTTGATGAACTTTCTTCGAGTGAGGTATTAAAAAAATTCTTGAAGTGATTCCTCTTCTAATTTGAAGCAAGCTTCACACATTTTAAAAACTCCTGTTCAACTTCGATTTTTTCAACGGGAAAATTTTCTATCTCATTTTCGAAGATTATGATCTTTTTTAATTTTTCATAGAATGTTATTTATTGGTCCACTCAAACAGACCGCATATGTCTAATTTCCAGGATGATCTCATTAATTACAGAATAATAATACACATATGAACGTGAGGGTGTTGCTGACGGGGTCAACTAATATTTGTGATTATCTCACAAAGTCATTACAACAATTCTATGATAGCTTTTTTCCCATTCCAATATATTTTATACAATTATCACATTCAATAATTTTGCCAGACGATACATACCCGCAAGAGTGGCACCTAGAGTGTAGAAATTCTGTTTATGAAACATTGTTTTCAATCGTGTTCTTCTGATTGGAAAATTAAATTTTACTAACGATAACAAATGAGGTGAGTCTACTTTATTATTGAGAAGACTGTGAAGAACTGATATTGATTTTATGAACGACAATCTAGCCATACATATTTTTGGAAATACAGATATCTCTAATATTTGTTTCTAAGTTTTGAATTAATTTCGCTTTGGAAGCCAATCAATTTCAATTTTTTGTTCAAGTTTGTATTCGGAAAAGAAGTGAATATCATTTTTACAGATGATGAATCTGCGTCATTTTTTTCTTTGTTGTTTCCTGTTTTGGCGACTCTACACTTTTACCCATATAATCAAAAAAAACTTATAACCCTTTTCACGAAAGTTTCGTCACTAACAGTGCTATTAACAAAATTTTGCACATGTGATGCACTGAAGATGATTTTGAAGATGATCACTTGGTGATCGAAACACGTGTCGAAGTGTTAAAATAACGGTTTGGTGTTGGGAAAAAACTCCAGTAATATTTCAAAATCTTGAAGATGAAGATTCGTTCCAAACTGAAAATACTCATTGTTTTGCACACAAATTCAACATCCTCATTGTATTTTTCAGAATCCAGAGGAAGCTAGAGAAAGAAAGCATAATTTTCTCTAGTGAAGTGTTCTTGTCAGGTTATCATCCCTATAGTGCAAGATGAAGATCTTCCAATGTTCTTGAAGGAACATTTCTCAACTTTGATTCGCGTAACGTTAACATTTTTTCTCCAACTATTTTTTATTTTGGCCTATATTTCTAAAGTGTGTACTCGGTAAACTTGAAGTACCTATTTTTAATGAAATAAACTGCGTTTCGAAGAAACACAAATGTTTCAATACCAACTTAACACTACAAAAATATTTGATGTCAAATTTACATATATGTCAATATATCACAAGTGAGTATTAATACAAGACGGTTAGGTCTGAAACCTCGTATAGTGTCATTTGCCATAACAACTAGTGCCAGATACCAATTCACAGGTATTGTTTTTGGAGGCACATCTTCACCGGCAGCAGGAGGTTGCATATCTTGTATGTTCGTTTGGTTTTTAATTGACTCTTTATTTTCTATTGCATTTATCGTTGAATTTATGAACGAATCTGGATAAGCGTTATCTTTCAAAACAGATTTAATTATGGATATTTCTTCATTGAGATTTTCAGTTGAATTGCATCGTTTTAGCACTTTTGTAAAGGCAATTTATTATACCTTTTTTAACACTCGCATGATGATTTGATGTATAGTGGAGGTATCTAGTTGTATGTGTTTTCTTCCGATAAACATTTGTATCAAATTGATATATTCTCATGTCTGGAGAGAATTGCCTCTCGAATAGCTCCATAGAAATAGACCGTACTTGGCTATCCATCTTGAAGAAAATTTTGGATAGTGGCGAAATGGCAACAAACTGATATCGGAGAGTACCTTACATCGAATGTTTCAGTTGTCACTCAACAACATTGACATAATTCCATATTTCAAAACTTCTTTGACATGAATTGAAGGGGTTATATTTTTAGGAGTGATTAATTTTTTTTTGGAAAAGAAAGTTTTTGGCTTTCTACTACTCCATCTGATACAAAAAAAAGGGATGAGAGAATCTTCCTTCAACTTTGAGTTTTAAATTTTCGCTACACATAAAATTTTCACTATATCATTCTGTCATTACAAAAGAATTATTTATATCACAAAAACAAGAACATAGTCAGAATCTTGAACAATAATTTATTGTAGCGGCACTTCGCTTCCTTTTCAAACCTTGTTCCGNACGTATGGCATTTATTATTTCGGGTTGATGGTTTATTCGTTACTCGTTCATGGGCGGTGCGTTTGAGGTTTGTTGATGCAGGATACAGTGTGGTACGTACTACGTAGTGAGCGATAGTGTTTTTTCGGGCATATTATGTATTTATATTAAAAATTTAAGGTAAAGTAATGACACCCAAGCATTTTTAGAAAAAAAATATCATAATCATTTGTCAATATCTTTTAATTCATTTCGATGAATAGCCTCAAATATCGCAGAAAGGTTGGAGATTTGTCTCTTTTTCATAGATACTTTCACTGTTTAAGAACTCTTTCATCTGAAGAACTGCGTTTATGTGGAATGAACTTCCTGAGAACGTTTTTCCAAATGGATTCAATATCTAGCGATTCAAATTCAATGTGAATGGCTACTTCCGCACAGACACCGCTCGGAGAGCCCTGTAGATTTTCCTGTAGGGCTTGTGTTTTGTCCTGAATGAAAAATAAAAAGATACTTATTCTTAATTTCATTCCGGAATTGAATTTCATTAACTAATTCATCAAGATCACATGTATCCACAAATGATAAATATATTTGGAAAAAATAGTTTTTTGGCTACTTCTGGATTATTATATCAAAAACGTACGAAACTTACACGAAACTTCAACGAAAATTATTAACAAAGATGTGTTCATTATGCACATAAGTTGATTCTAACACAGAAAAAAACCTTTTCGAAACAACTACTTTCACATGTACATTGAATTACACGAGAACCCTTTTTTCTCATGAAGCTTGTACTCCAAACATACGTTACAGAATTACAGATATCATTCATAGAAACGTTATACAACGAAACATATGAAAACGCATTGATAAAAAATTTAACTCACATGGAGCACTATCACCCTTAATGGTGTACGTCGAAGGTTTGGACAAAACATTTGTCCCATCTCCTCATCAACATAGTTGATGAGACCAAAATCTTTTCATGACATCACGACTTCATTTCAACGGAGGAGACAACTTTGCTCTCGTCACAATATTCAAACGGTGACATTGAGTCTTGAAGTGTTAATTTACACAAACATATTCCTTACTTCCGCTTACATTGATATTGCTCAAAATACTCACCACTTCGGAAAATTTGTTGGTGTTATCAGTGAAGTTCAGCCTATGCCTGAAAAGGTAACCTTTCTCACACTTCTTCAGAAGACTGTAACATGGATTGTTCAAACTTTCAGGATCAGTGAAGTAAAAAGGCATATCTGTTTTATCCATGAATGATCCATACGCCAATTTGTAGTTTTTGGTAAGATCAGTAAGGCTTGTTTTCAAGTTATTTCCGAGAGTTTTCAAAATCTCCAAATTATGTTCCATTGATGCACTGAGATCTCCGAGATAATATAAATCGAGTGGGTAGTTTGAAGCAGGTTTGTAGGTGAAATTGAAGGTGACAGCTTCCCCTGAAAAAATATTCTATAAGAACTAATAGTCAGTGCCTGCTCGAGGCAAGTTTTAGGATAGGGCGAGATTCGATTATGGCGCCCTCTTGCTTGCCCAATGTTCCTAATATACCCATATACCAGTTGTGTGTGCACGTGCAAGCATTGTCCACGGAACTGAGAAGATCCAAGCATATGATTAATTTGTTAATTGAAACCATATGTACATAATGGAACAGGTGATGAGAATTAAAAACCAAAATTATGGAGGAATTGAGGTGCTTTCAGTCATTAATGAGATCAATGAGCATACTCAGCTTTGGACCAAACACCTGTTATTTATTAAATGTATTTACTAAAATTGTCTAAATAACAATATAGGTCAACATTCATGACTTGAGATAAATAAGCAAAATCAACTTTGCAAGTGGTACTTTCTATGTTAATTCTGTGGGAATTAATGTAACACTGCTTATCGAAAACAAACTCTCTAGGGTTAGGCTACATGTTCCTGATGATAACATAATAACATACTAATAAACAAAATTATCTAATGAAGGAATAACGTGAACATTCATTGTGAAATCAATAAGCATAATCGAGTTTAAAACTGATACTTATTATGTTACCCATATGAGAATGAATGTAAGTGTAATTATCAAATGAAATGTTTTTAGTGTTAGGCTATATGTTTCTAACAGTAAGATAATTGATTATCTCTAATATTTGGACTCATGTAGATGAAAAACTTTCTGATCTAACCTTGCTGTTCGATGTTGATAGTTTATTATAATATAATGACCCAGACAGTATATTCAATTTCGTGGAAGTTTTCTTGACCACTGAGGTGCCCTTTAGGAATTGGCGCCTGTGGTAGGTCCGGCCCTACTCATAGTCTGTAATCCTGAGATGACTGGGATATTAAATGCTCTGTTAACCTGTTAGGAGAACCAAATATTGATTACTACAATACATAAACAGTTAAATGTACCTGAAGGGCAATGAAATTTTCGAAGAGTGCATAAAAATATGGAAACTACCACTGAAGATTGTAACGCAATTCCTATAAAAATGTTGAATTAATGTACTCTTCATTGTTCAGATACTGTGAGGTATATCATATGATTCTTGTGAATATCCGTGATTGTGAAAAAATCTAAATCACCAGTACCACAAACTTCAACTTCAGCAGTTTTTTATTGAAGATCTGAAGCCTACCAGTATCCTTACAGTTATCTTCAATATCATCGGACGCCACGTTTTCACCCATATCAGCAATAATTTGAAAGAAAATATTTTTTCTCAATCTGCAACACTCCGATTTCTTGAAATAATCATAGTATTGTACTTATGAATATCGTAGATGATGCAAGGTCAATTGTGTTAAAATTCATTCAATAATTGGAGACGTCTATGGGAGTTCCATAGGGTAGTATATTGGGCCCAATACTCTTCATTATATTTACAAATGACATAAACATGGTGGTAAATTCAAATTCCGCTCACATAGTTTATTATGCTGATGGTACTAACCTATTGTTGACAGGTGCAAACTTACCATACATGATAAAACATGGTAGTATTGTAATAGAAAGGACAAAACACTTTCTTCTGGAAAATAAATTGATTTCAAATGATGAAAAAACAGATTGCGTCATGTTCAAAATTGATAATAGCATGGAGACACCGAAGAACATCACTCTCAATGATTTTAGAGTGACCTGCAACACCTCTGTAATGTTTTTGGGTATATATATTTTTGCAGAGTATTTCTCTGCCAAAAAAGGGTAATCAAAATACTTTTTGGTATGAAGGTCAAAGACCCATGTAGAGGAATCTTTGAAATGAACAAATTATTAACACTACCAGCGATATACATTTTTGAGCCATTAAAATTTTTAGTAAATCAACCAAGCTACTTTGAAAAGCATCATGAAACACATAAGTATGGAACAAGATTAAGGAATGATTTTTTATATCCGACACATAAAAAATCTCTATGAAAGAAGTACTGTCTACACTACTGTCTACAGTGCAAATTTTCTAATTCTCTCCCACAGAGAGAAATAATTTTTTTGCAATATAGAGCCTTATACTATAGATGACCAAAAAACTAACAAATATCTTCAAACCACTGAACATCAACATCACATACAAGCCGAACACGAAGATAACACAAGAAATAAACAACTATGAAAAAGAAGAAAAAGACCAAAACGGGATATATGTACAGTATACAATGCTCGGACTGCAACAAATTCTATATCGGCCAAACCAAGAAAAAACTGATCCNCTCAGTAGAAATAAATGAATATCTATCTATCTATATGTCTATCTGAAGTTTTCAATGTATCAGTTACGTGGTAATCAATTCTGTAATTATTTGAAATGACTGAATTTTATTTTGAAAGTTATGAAAAAGAATCAAGTTGACGAGCCAACCCAATAGACATCTTTCGAAGGAAACTGTGAATTGATGGCAAAATTTCGCTGAAGTGGATCGTTTTAAAATTTAAAAAAGGCATGATGAAAAGTTATATAGGTTTAGTTATATATGCTTGGTATAAGAAAATTGGCTACTGCGATGGTCCTGAGCCGTGCAAGTGACCGAAGAATATGAAAAAAGTTTAGGTTGAAAGATTCGATTAGTGAGAAAATTAAATTAAAACGGCTCTGATCGTTGTATGCAATTTTGCCAACTTATAAGTGAATGACTGAATAAAAATTGTCATTTCTTATTTAATATGTGTTTCTCGAATGACTTTATTTTTGAATGGTGTAGTTTACCGCCACAATTTTATGGCAGACGTTTTATGTATTACTGCTGTAGACATTATCATAGACGATGCAACAACGGAGAAATTTCTTGTGCTGCCCTCAGAGAGCAGATATTGAAAAGTGTTTTCGGTTTTAAACTTTCTTCGGAAGCTACTGATGATTCCTCTTCCATATTCTCCGTTTCACTATCACTGTCGTCATTTGAATCAATAATGAATTTATTTCCACCATTGATATGGAAGTGTCCAATCTCCTGTTAGGCGTACACATTCTCGAACCATCAGTCCACTCTTTTGTAACTGTGTCGTGAGTGTCATACCAAATTTGCTGTTTTTCTTGTCTATATTTAGTTATTTGTTCTAACTATCTGTTACGCAATTCCACTATACTTCTGCTTTCCATAACTACTTGCCCACGGACGCCACATCTTAAACAAATAACAAAAATTTTAAGTAATTATAGCTTCACCAATATCGAATTCCAACACTCAAATCGCGATCAGTTCCTGAACTGAACATTGACAATTCGAAGGCTCGCATTCTATTCGTCACCGTAACATGACTTCAAATTTAATTTTATGACGGTTAGTAAAAATTATCCAATACGAACCGCCAATTATTCAGTCCACGTTGACTAATTCGTAGCGGCATTATGTCTTTGTATTGTTTTTTTACCCTTTGAGTTCGCCGATAGCTTTGAGAATTACTATATCAGTTACTTCAACTATACTTCCAAATCGGTGATAGTTTTTTGGGTTTCCTATTCCACTGGGAATTGGGTTAAGAAAGTTCAGATGTGGTAGAGATTTGTTCAGTTTCTCCTCACCATGCTGTCGTACCACGAACATATTATCAATATAATGCAGCCAACAACAGTTCTGAATGATTGCCTATGTATATTCTGAAAGCAGCTGCAATAAGGTCGTTCGGAACTTGGCCAGCTCATAACTTGATGAATATATCGCATTTACGATAGGTCTCGGTGACATATGCTCTTTATAAATTTTCCGTAAGCTATATAGACGTATAAAAAGTAAAACTGAAACCTCCGACGTAGAATAAATCCAAAACAAACACTTTTTCCAAACACCAGAACTGCAATACTCATGTCGGAAAGAGTATTGCAGGTTTAGTGTTTGAGAGACGTTCTTGTTTTGGAATATTCCTTCTGAGTTCTCTCTCTACGTGTTAATTCAACACCGACTAAGCGTCTTCATTTCGTTCAGGTTGGAGCCTGGCTCCCTTACCCTTTCAACTGATATTTGTCAGAGGGACAAATGGGTCATGACTGATGGTAAGATGGCGACATGAATGTTGTCAGAACATCAGTGCCGCCCTTCACGGTGTACCCCTACCAGGACATAGGGGCCTCATTCGACAGTGTCGGGGCCTTCTATATCAGGAGGGGTTGTCTACAGCATAATCCATAGCTTCCCTAACTAACGGATTATCATGAGTTTCTGCGCAATCAAAAACTCGTTAATTTCTCGACTGAATGGACTGCCTAATGGAAGGTAGCTGCAAATCTCTGCGGATGGTTTCATTCCGCACGAACCACTGAGCATTCACAATCATCCTTATCAACTTATTTTGCAATCTCTCCAGAATGGTGATATTGGACGGAGCCGGAATTCAACACGTGATATGTACTTTATTAAGTATAAAATGCGATTGATTCGGCTTTCACTAATATCTTCAAGGGAAAATTTGGTGGCTCCCTGAGTCCCGTTGGTGTTTTGTGTGACACATAAAAGGCAGAGTATATTAAATTCCACCTACCTTCTAGTAAAACCGCAAGAGCTCCAAAATTCAGACCAACGGTTTGAAGATAACTTGTATTATTATATTGAAGTTGGCAGACAATATTGGCAGTATTTTGTGAAGTAAAATCCATTTGATTTTGATATGTTTCGAAAACGGTATCTGAATATTCAACCAGAGCCCATGTTTTGACTAGTTGCAATGAAAGACAGAGAATCAATCACGTTCGGCTGTTTATGTCGAAGCTTGGTTTTGCAACGAACCGCCCTGGGAAGCCCCGTTCATTTTGATATTAGTGGATTGAGTTATTTTGCCAATCCCATAGATGGAGATGTAAGTGGAGATTAAATTCATTTTACTTGAACGTATTTTTGTCAAAGTTACATATTTTCCAGACGAATAGATCGATTTTCGAAAGTGAAACTACAAGAGCGGTTAATCACAAATCCTTTTCTTTGAATAGTCCACTCTGTATACCTAACAAGTTACACATACACGAGTATGCTATCAAGAATAATTTTTTGGTATGATATTATTGTCATACTTTCCTGTTTTCAAATGATACAATGAAATATTTCATTCATTTTCAATTTACTTCAGGTAAATATTATTTCATAGAATATTGTTGAAACAATAAGTGAATACAATAAGTCATAACTTTTCTTGATGGTATGCTTATATTATATCCATGGTTGAAACAAAGGAACAAATGGAGTTATATAAAATACTTTGTCTAAGTTACTAACAGATATAACTTGATATCCATTTTTTTTATACCAAACGAATACGAAAAGGAGTCGTTATATGGAATTGGGTGTGTGTCCGATATTTTGTCTTCGCTACATTCAGTATTATCTCGAAATGTTTAAATGGCATCTCTTAACAGAAGTCTTTGATTTGGAAATATTGGATTTGTTCATTTAAAATATCATTCCACACATTCTCGCACATTCCGAAGCATTTACGAAGTTATAAAAACGGCACTCGTCGACAATTTCTCAATGATATTCTTCTAAGACGTTGGTTATGCTACATAAATTTCATTTTTAGGTTTCCACACAAAAATAAAATGAGTAGGGCAAATATGGTGAACGCGGAGGCCTATCCATGATTCTTTCTGATTCAGTAAACGCATATATATTTTAGTGGATTCCAAGTGTATTTCATCCAAATCTGTGGAAATGGATCGTACCTGGTTACCATTGCTGAGGTGAGAGGTCACAAACAAAAATATGACACTAAACTGAAATCTCGAAAAATATTCTGCATGTTTATTCATGTAGACTATTGACATCCAGTTACTATGTTCATTTGATATTTGTCGAAGGAAATATACCTGTTACCGTTCGAAAGAACCTGTTACCGTTCAAAAGAAAATATTTGATAAGCTCATCAGGGAAACAAAAAATGAATACTATAGGAATTGTATTGAAAATGAGGGTAATGATTTTAAAAAAAATGTGGCAAACTGGTAATGAAATATTAACCGACCAAGATCCTACACCTATTAACTTGATAAGAACAAAAAATAACGAACTCGTTAAGGACCCGGTTGAAATAGCAAATAGATTTAACAATTATTTCATTTCTGTAGGTGGAGATTTGGTGCGAAATATAAATATAAATCCAGACTATTCCGAAAGGAAGAGTAGGTATATGTAACCATTCCATTTCTCTGCAACCTTCAACTGAAAAAGAGATGGAATATATTATATCGCAACTCAAAAATAAAAGGTCTCCTGGCTATGATGATATCAAAGCAGAATATCTGAAAATGGTGTCTGATTATATATCGAAACCACTATAATTTAAGATGCGAATCAAATCTCGAAAAATTTATGACAAAGATTAAATTATTTGTCAAGAATATATCACGAGCAGAGATACACAGACAAATATACATTTTAATACTTACTTCCACGATTGTGGATATACATTGTGTATTGATTTGTTTGTAGTCTGGAACCCTTATGATTGAAGTCTCTATGTCCATTGATCGTTCCATTTATTTATATTGTGTTCAAATTTGTCGAGTTCAAAGTTATGTTTTTATCCATACTTAGTACCTACCCATTCAATACAGTTTATTTTGATTCTTCATATTCTGTTCAAATATGTCCAGTTTGAACTTATATTCTTATCTATATCTAGTACTTATTTCAATAGATTGATTGGTTTTATTTATTTATATTCTTTTCAAATGTAGCTATTTTGCATTTATAGCTTAGTACTTAATTTGATGCATGAATCTTATTCAATGTCAGATTCACTATTCTCATTCCTTACACACAGGCAGATAATTTTGCCACTTGAGATGTATTTTATTTGTTCACTGTTCATTTCGACATGTACATGTATATTTACTGTAAATAATCTTAAGAAAGTGAATAAATACATATTATTATAAAAAAAAGATGAAAAGGTTCCATACTTTTGCCTCACTCAGATGTAAAAGTTTCCACCATATTTTTATGTTCATACATCATTCGACCAATATTTTCGTTTTCTCTTTTCGCTAACCTCATTTCTTGTTCGTTATCTAAAGCTTATCTATGAATATTTCTTCGATTTTTGATGTGATCAATATTTGAATGCACCAGGTGTTCGAATATAAATAGTATTGGGTAATACAATTCAATGTTTTCGTCTATGTGTAGTACATTTTCCAGCAACATTTGAAGTAGAAAAAAGTCGGAGCATGAATCAAGCTATTTTCTTTTACAAAAACTAATCTAGTCCTATCGTGAGACTTCGTTATATTGGGAAAGAAAGGTTTTGACTTTCGACTTTTTCATCTTAGCAGTCATAATCGGGTACGACCCATTTCCACAGATTTATTTGAAATACACTTCACTTTATTAATTTTCATTATAGTAAGGGAATAAATGAAGTTATATAAAATACTTTGTCTATTTCGACTTTTTCATCTTAGCAGTCATAATCGGGTACGACCCATTTCCACAGATTTATTTGAAATACACTTCACTTTATTAATTTTCATTATAGTATGCTCGCCATACCCAATTCTACCTTCCCTTTATATATTGATGATGTTCATTTTTTCTCACATCTAAGGGTCTTGAGATTTCTCCTAAATAACTTGTAATGGCAATGAATCTGATGTTCCCATGAAACGAACAGTATTTGAAAAATTCAATAAAAACAACTATTACCTCGTTTACAGACAGATGGGGCTAAGACAAACGTGTTGTTTGTTGTCCGCTTCAGCCTAGTTCTAGGAATGATACTTTGAAGGAATTCGATTTTCAATTATCGGAAATCATCGACTTTATGTTGATGATAAACACTACCTTGCACTGACGAGTGGCCAAATAGCCCGGAACCGGTCTACAAGTGTGTTCCAATAATTGAAAATCTATTGCGGCAGTTGAATCGCCAACAGCATATACAGGAATAACTTCAGTTAAGAATCCTGCACTGACACCTGTCGGATATAATCCAACACCCATCGTGGTATTAGCCAGGGGGAAAGTTGTTTTCCGATAGGTGTCAGTCCATTAACGTACACTGTAGGGAGTTGAGACTGGCCTGAATGAATTGTTCTTTTAGATGATTCAAAACAACTAATGTGAATATGTAAGGCGGCAGCCACCCTTAACTGGTAGCCATAACTCAATTGTGACGTGACCAAGATCACGCCTAACTTGACGTGCGCTAGCGGCCGTTCCAGTCGTGGCGTTGCTTCGAGAATAATGCTCCGAATGTATCGCGGATGTTCGATGTTTGCGCCGATTCGATAAAACTTCCGAAGAATTTTCCGGCGCCTTCGATTGCCAGAAATAAGCACCATCCATTCGCCTATCGAGACAGTCAAGTGGAAGTTACAGTGCGGTATGCGGAGCGATCTAATAAGGCGATAGACATTCGAATACTAGTTGAAATTTTAGTTGAAATGTTTTGTTGTAATAAAAGTGAAATAAAGTTGAATTTGGTTATTGTTTAGTGTAGTCAATAATTGGCAAACCCATGGGGAAAAACGTAACAATATGTTGAATTTTCAACTCTCTCACTCACCACACGAACAACAATTGGCAAAATTATTTATATTTTAGAACATATCAAATCATCAAGATCACATTAAATTTTTACATGCAAAAAGTGGATGCGACACAACATTATTATAAAAAGCTATAAGCAATATTATTTGAATTGTTTCAAAAATGTAATGAATTGGAAGGTAAAAAGACCTTAAGTACAATTCCATAATAGTAGCCACTAACTTCTCAAAAATATTATTGCATTAAAACGAAAACATTGTTGTCGAGGTTGTGATTCTATAATTTCATCATAATTTTTCCTCATATGTTTAGTATAATTTCCTTATGCCACTGCAAAAAGTGGAGAAAAAACCNTTTCTGAGAATTTAGTGCCTACTATTTTGAAATTATAGTATACAAACTGAAACTAATTCGTTTAGTTTGACATCTACAAAAATTTCGTAATTTTTATGTTATCATTCATAATCTCACCTTTTCTAAGAGTCAAATCAACACTCTGAGGCTTGATTTGAATAATTTCTCTCATTTGTTCAGCACTTGCCTGTTCTGGAATCACAGAAAATTGTTCATTTTTTCCTATTGACATTGACTTTTGGGAGTTTCTTTCGATTTTGTTCGGATCGCATTTTGAAAATGCAATATTACATCTTCTGTCATGAAAATCCTGAAAAATGCAGTAATTTTATTATCTACTAAGTTAGAAGCATTAAGCGTAAATTCACAATAATGTCGCCTAATCTGGTCTCGAAACCTATTTTCGTTATATAGATAGATATATAACAGGCCGCTGTGGGTATTCATTTCAAATGATTTCATTTGTAGAGTATGAAAAATATAATATCGAGCGCCCAATCTGGAATAGCACAGAAATAATTGCGAATTCAAAGAAAATCATTGAAGAAACTTGAAATTGAAAGTTGTTGGATTATGAACAACTACGAGTGTAATCCACTTGCAAGAGTTTGAATAACGATCAAACCGGAAGGGACCTTAAAGTTTTGGAGGCGAGACGTTCTGAAATTCACAAGACATGTTTTCACTATCACATTGTCACCACTAAACTGCCTAGGTTGACGTGAGGTTGTGTGTAGTTGATGGAACGGTGAAGATCAAAAGTAAATGATAAATAATTTCGAGCTTGAAGTAAATGAGCAATATGGTCACCTTCTGATGAAATACACGCCTGCAATCAATTTGTCATTGATTGTCTAACACGTTCAAAACTACCCGGAGTATTCCTTATGATATTGCAATCTTCCCGCGAATAGATCAAGAAATAATGTCGATAATCCTGTCAAATACAGATCCCGAGCTTGAGAGTAACAAACAAACAAACATACATACATACGGGTGAAGCTTAAATAAAAGCGTGTAGTAGATCATCATCCCCTTATTTCACAATTTTTCATAAAAATGTAACTCCAGACTTTTTCAAAAGTAATTTGCTCAGGACATAATGCTGGAAAATTCACTGGTGAGGTAGCTATTTCGAGCTTGAAGTAAATGAGCAATATGGTCACCTGCTGATGAAATACACGCCTGCAATCAATTTGTCATTGATTGTCTAACACGTTCAAAAATACCCAGAGTATTCCTTATGATATTGCAATCTGCCCGCGAATAGATCAAGAAATAATGTCGATAATTCTGTCAAATACAGATCCCGAGCTTGAGAGTTACAAACAAACAAACAAACAAACATACATACATACATACATAGAGGTGGAGCTAAAATAAAAGCGTATCAAAAATGCACTAGTAGATCATCTCCTTATTTCACAATTTTTCATAAAAATGTAACTCCAGACGTTTTCAAAAGTGATTTGCTCAGGACACAATGCTGGAAGGTAGCTAATTAAACTTTGTGTTTTTTTAATCGTTTCATCAAAATAAATGACAATTCGCTACTATTAGGTAACTTAGATTCAAACTCTATTTTTAACAGAAACATTATTATGGAAATGTCGTAATCCGTAATAATACTAACTTCTTGAGGTTTCTGATAGAATGTTCTGGTATAATCTTACCATTGAATAATTTCTTATTACTTCGCTTTGCTTCTATACAATGTTTAGAAATGAATTTGTAGCAGTTTTGACCCGTTTTTCATGTTTTTAGTGTTTTTGTATGCTGAGTGTGTGTATTCAATGAACTGTGAGCCGTGTGCTTATTTTTGTGTTTTTTTTATTGTTGCGTTTCAGGCGTGTTTATTTACTCTTTTTTCTGTATTGTGTGGTTTGTGATGGCTGTTTCAACTGTTTTCGTGGAATGTATTGCGTTTATTCGTTTTTTTTTGTGTTTTCTTACTTTCTAATTGTGTTATCTATGTGTTGTTTGCTGTGTGTTTTATGTTATGTGTTATATGTGTAGTGTGTTTTGTGTATTTTTGACTTTTTTATATTCTTGCTTTGTAGGCGTTTGCCTTCTTTATTTATTTTATTTATTGTGTGATGATGTTTGCTGTGTGTTGTTTTTATATAAGTGTGTGTGTAGTGTGTTATGTGTTATTTTTAATGTGTTGTATTTTGTGTCCAGTGTTTTTGTGCTTTGATGAATTTTTATCGTTCTTTTCGTTTGATCACATTTTTGCTTTTTCTTATTGTGTGTTACTTGAGTTTGTTGTATGTGCGTTTTTATGCGTTCTTGAAGTGATTAGTGTTTTTTGTGTTTAACTTCGGTTTGGGGTGACAGTAGCCAAGTAGAATTCAATGCTTGGAAGAGCAACACTATAATAATTGAAAAAAATATTTGAGGACCAAAGATTGTGAATTTGTTGATCAAAGCTGAAAATTTAGGAAAACTCTGGATGAGGTTTATAGTCTCAGAAGCGAAAGGTTGTGTTGGAATCTTGGAAAAGTATATGAGAAAGATCCTTGGGAGAGAAGCATTGTATAAATCAGCTTCAAACCAGATATCTCTCAGATGTTTCCTTGAAACGAGCTGACCTGCCAGACGGAAAATAAATCTGTGCAGGTCAGTAAAATGAGCTGATGTCAACCAGTGATTGTTTTCTGGCCGATATTTACAAAATGCTACTATGTAGGAGAATTAGAAGAGATAAAATTTTCGAAATTTTTGGATCTTCGGCTTTGACAACTGTGGTTAGCTCTTAAATTCAATAATTGCATTCATTATATATTCATCTATAGACATAGTCATCTAGCCTGTTTAGATTTGAAACTAATATATGTTGAAAATATGCACTCACTTCCTGATAGCACCATTCACAAGATTTATGCGCCTGTAAACAGTCGTCACAAAATTCTTGGTCCAAACACAATTTTTGAAATTTATTTTCATCATTCTCGGTAGTATTAGTTTCTACAGAAAGGCATATCAAAGTAGTTAAAATTATATGAATAGCTATCATATTATGACCAGAGTGGTACAACAACAAAATGAAACTAAGATAACGTTGATTTGCCAGGAATAAATGCAGGGATAAGATAAGATTAGATAGTTGACTGCTTCCAGTGGTGCGGAAAGGTGATTTGTGCTGGAGAATATGGTTATAGATGCTGAAAATACGTTGGATACATCATATCGAACATATCTCAGTTAGTGAGATTTAATGTTGGGTGATATCATTTGTTAATTTAATCGAATTAATTTTTTATTTATTTTCAGGAATCCATGTATGATATTGATTGTTTTCTCAAATGCTCAGAAAAACTCTGTGTTGAAAGTTATTATTTCAATGAGATTGAAAATATTTATTTCTCTCAAATTTTCTACGTGGAATGATTCGAAAAAGCCTGCTGAAGCATCTACCTTCTATGTCTTGGTTGCAATGGGAGAAAATACCGGGTGTAAAGTATATTGCCAAACTATTCTTCCTATTAGCTTATGTCTTGGGGTGTTGAATCACTTTGCTGCTATGTGGCAGTCATCAACTCAGCTGCCTTCTGATGCTGATTAGGTTATGTCTTACCTCTCTAGGGGTATGCACTTTGTTTAACATTGTTTGTATTACATCATTTGTATCCATCATTTCAGTATTTTGTGCGTTATTTGGTGATTTGAAGGATTGCATTTTTTTTTATTACAATTGAAAAAACTTCAATTTTGCGACCTTTTTCTGTCTGAGTGAGTAGGCAATTATTCCATAACTGAAATCTTCGAACCTATCATAGTTAATTAGATTCATAATTCTCTACCACAGAATATGTGTCACTACCTTCGATGCCAATCGCAGAGGGGCAAACTCATTAATTTACAGTTGGGTTTGGATTATTGTCCTTCTCAAGTGAGTCTAGAGAACTAACCTACTCCAAATTATGTTCTCATACAACAGACTGAATCACTGAACTGATAGTTTGTTTCAAAACATATAGTTTCTAACAAAAAACAAGAATGGAAACATGGACTCAGAAAGTGGGAACGACGAGGACGACGTAATCCATCTTGAGTTCATTCAGGTTGAAGAGTGGGAACGAGGTACTGCAACAGAAATTTATGATGGTTCTGGTTTCAGATAATACCTACGGCAGATATTTTTGTTTTTTCAAGTACTCAATATTCAAATTTTTTGAAAATGAATGAAATAACGACTATAGGAGATACTTTGTTACGAAATTCAATCACGAGTAAGCCTCGAGAAATTTCCTACTCCAAAATATGTTTTCTGATGTCAAACTTGCTCATTGAACTGACAATTCAATGTTTAACGGAAAACAAGGATAAAAGCATGGGCTACAAATTTGTAATGTGGAAAAAAATGTATATCTGTCATAAATTCGTCATTTAATAACAAAATAGGAGTGATTAAAAACTCAAATAGCTTTATGTCACACTAACTTCTTTGAGTAGTTTTCAGAATTCTAAGCTAGTAAGCCAAATATCCTGGTTTCAATCCCGGGTTAAGGCATATCCCCGACATTTTTTAATTTTGCTACTCAATAAAATGACAAATTTAGAAAATATTCTTGAATGCTTTTTCAGGTAACAACGTGTTTTGGTATGAATTGAAGGGGTTATATTTTTAGGAGTGATTAATTTTTGGGAAAGGAAGTTTTTGGCCTTTCTACTACTCCATCTTGATACAAAAAAGGGAATGAAGGAATGTTTGAAATACAAACTGAGTAGAGAAAAGTATCTTCTGTATAATTCTGTATAATCCTGTTTCAGGAGGACTTTCTTTCAGTTTGTGTCTGAAAGTTACTTCTTTGCATGATCTACACATCCATGTATAGAGTTACTTATTTTCAAATTGATTACTTCCTTCTTTTCTTTGGAAGATTCCCTCATTCCCTTTTTTGTATCAAGATGGAGTAGTAGAAAGGCCAAAAACTTCCTTTGTTTTGGTACTTCTGTGACTCGGGCTATCTTTACGAAAACTTCATTGCAAGATTTCAACTGAACAATTTACAAAACCGCAACACGTATTTCGCTACACAGTGACTTCCTCAGACTAAATTCCTTGACTAAATTCTACCAAATTAGTGCTTATTCAATAACAATTTGGATCATATAACCTTCTATCTTCTTGATAACTAATAATTTCACCGTAGTTTAGATATGAACTGATTGCAAATTTAAACATTATGAAAGAAACTACCTACTTGATGGCTGATAATTTCACCAGAAAGGGTTGCTTTCAACAAGGATTGCATAAAAGACACTACTGACACCATTATTTCCAAAAAAAAAACTATGAAAACAAGCTATTTACCAGGTCTAATCCACTCCAGGAAATGATTATAAACGTAATAGGACATTGACATACTTTGGTGAACTCACCAATAATATACGAGCGACATTCTTCTAAAGTAGCTAGTTTTTTGAAGAAGAAAGACTTGGACGTGATGTTTATCAAAAACAATAAACACAAATCTTCATTGTTCAGAGTATATAAATTGACTAGATGGGTCATTCGAGAAAAAACTTTTTCCAAAGAACACAAAAACATAATATGACTAGTTTTTTGACTTCAAATACCAATTTCATATTTGCAAAAAATTTTTTGGCAGGTGGACATGACTTCAATCACGACTATGATATTTGAAATTTGAAAGAGACAGATTTGAAATGCTTGGGGATTGATAGATTTGGGAATTCGAGAAATATAACGAATGACTGGACATATTTGGATTTCTCCCCTTTGTTGAATCTGTTTCTGGATTTTGGTTATCAGTATATTACATTGTCCAATTAATGAGTTGGTGAAACTTGTTTTCTACTGTTCAGAATTCCAATTAGTTTATACCTAAATTATGATAATATTATCATTCATTGGGTAGGTAATTTCTTTTTTAATGTTCAATGTTAAATTTTAAAATTATTTTATACCTAAACACTAGTGAAATATTAGTCATTGAGTTGGTAGAAGGTCATATGAATCAAATTATTATATTATATCAAACCCTAATTAGGTAGAACACGCTCTAAAAAGCTGTTCAATAGCGAAAGACGTGTTTCGGTTTTGTAAACCGTCGAAATATCACAGTATGGTGTTACTTGAATACGTTATACATTAATTTTATCAAGTATCGTCAAACTACATTACATTTTCTGTTATGAGTCATAGAAAAAGTATAGTATTTTAGCTGGCCATGACTCGCTCGAATGATGTATGACGAGTTATGGCCACATTTCTTGCTCGCTGAATGACACAATTACTATTGATTATGTTCTTCATCATCCAAAACAATGTCGAAATTATTTGTTTCCTTTGCAGTTGTCTGAATTTTTGTGTCCCTTATGAGTTAAGTTGAGAATGTTGGTTGCAGAATTTGGAATGTGTTGGTTTTACGTTATCAGAGAGACAAAATGAAATTTGTTGCTACTTTGTTATGCCATCCACGCCATATAATTTCATGATTTTGATTTTGAAGAAGTTAGTCGCAATTGCTTTTTTTGTGTGCCTCATTGTTTTCAGGTTTATTGTCGTGAACCATTTTTGGGTGTGGTTAGTACTGAGTATTTATTCAATTCTCAGGCTATCCAGTAATTTGTTTGTTGCTGATCCATCCTTTAATTAGTTCTTTCCTTACTTTCATTGTTTTCATTTCATCAGGTTGGTGAGGGGTGTTTTTCATTTTCCAAGTGGTGGTTGACATTTTCTGTTTCTAGCCGAGGTATTTATCAGATTATTTCATTTGAATATATTTTATGAATCCTTCGAATGATATTTTATACAGGGCGCTCCAACGAAAACTTGACCCCCCTGTAAGTCAATTTTTATTTCTGGGGGGACTAATTCTTATATGGAAATCATACCCGAAACTTCACTCCCCTGCGGTCAGCAACTATCACCCTATTTTTTTCAATGGCATGAGAGGGGGGGTCGAGTGATACATCATTTGAAAGTTTTTTTGTCTCTTCATTACTTCTGTATTTTTTTCGAAATTGGTTTATTCCTTATTGAGAAATTGAATGTTGAACGTTTTATTTAAGAAAAAACAGTAATTTGCTGTCGCTCATTTCATTGAGGAAATCAAAAAAAGTAATATCAATGGCAACACGGATAAAGTTTTCAACATGACCTTCATCTAGTTCCATACAATAATACAGTCTAGTTTCGAAAGCGTTTCTTACATTATTGAAGATGTCAGGAGTCAGAAATTGGCATTCATGAACAATTCACTGTCGCAGGTTTTTTAGATTTGTAGAATTTATTCAATTAGTAGTAAACGTTTTGAAATGGACGACACTGTTAGTTTTTTCTGCACTAGTAGTTTTTGTTGAATCTAGTTGTCGCAGAACAAAAAGTAGATAGTTGGCCACTGTCACTTCTTCACGAATGATTATTCATTCATCCTTGTTCACTGCGTTCCAACATGGTTTATTCTACCGAAGAAGGAATAGAAATTGTTTGCAACCTACTATTGAAATAATTTATGTGCTAAAGCTGCTGCAAGAATTTATAATACGAATTATCCAGACCACAACGTGAGCTATCAATATGTTAAACAGTTAATGGATAAGTTTAGAACTTCAGGTTCTGTTCACAACAGAAAACATGAAGTACCTATCTCGTCTTGTCAGAAATAACGGAGTTGAAGTTGCAGTTTTAGGACACGTACATGGATAATCGACAATCTATCAGACAAGTAGTTAGAGCGTATCAGATACTAGTGTTTTCCGAATTTCAAAATCCTACAAATTCCATCCTTCCAAAATCAGGTTAGTTCAGTAATTAAACGGAGATGATCCTGATTGTCGACTTCAGTTTTTTGAGGAGTTCAGCGAGAAATTGACCACGAGAAATTGACCAATAACCCAAACCTATTATACAATACATGTTTTCCAGACGAAAGTTCTTTCATGTAGAATGGTGAAGTGAATAGAAATGATTGTCGTTACTGGAGCGATATGAAGCCTTTTTTGATTATGGAAACACATTCACAAACTCCACAAAAATTGAAAGTCTGGGCCGGCATTCTTGGTAATCATATTATGGGACCATTCTTCATTGAAGCTAATCTCAATGGAGACACATTTCAGAAAATTATGACAATTTATTAGAAAATGAAATAACATTCCAGCAGGATGGTGCATCCTCACATTTTGATGTTCGAGTGAGTCAGTTTTTGGACGAACGTTTTTCAATGTGTTGGAACAGCAGAAGGGGTACAGTGGAGTGGTCAGCTAGATCACTTGATCTCACACCGATGGACTTCTTTCTGTGAGGACACCTGAAGTCGAAAGTGTACTAAGCCTACAAATCTAAATTTTCGATTACAAGTCCGTTTCTGACTTACAAGAGGGGTTAAGTTTTAGTTGGAAAACGAAATATACCGTTACATACCCTATATACCGTTTGTTATTGTCTGCTATAGGATGCAGCGTCCCATGTATTGAGTAGTTTTTTGTATCTGTCAATCTAGATCTGATTGGGTCAATTTTAATATCGAGACTATGTATTTTTGGCCCCAATTATGATTCCATTATTGCTCTTGTTCTGCGATATTATTTGGATATTTATTTGGATAACATTTTCTTCATGTACGTTAGTTCATAACTAGTTATCCACCTATAAAAATAATAATGGGAATTATTCTACTTTGGACTAAGGTCCTTTTAAAATTCTTATTCATTTTTTTACTATTATTTTTTTCTACCTTCACGGCCCAAAATTTCCCAACTTTTTCCCGAGTCGAAAAAGCAGGGGGGAAGCTCCCCCCATCCCCCTCATGGCGACGGTCCTGCTCTCTTGCAAAGGAGGGTGCTGCAAGCGGCTTCATTGGACCAGAACCTGTCACTGGCATCGCTTTGGGCTTTGCCAAACAAACACGGAACACCTGGATGACAAGAAGAGTTATGGGGTTTATTCACCCTTCGAAGCTTGATTCCAAATAGTTGTTGGACTATAGTAGGGATGAACTACGATGTCTAACAGGCCTTCTTACAGGTCATTGTCATTTGAATCATCATATGCAGGGACTCGGACTGTCGGAAGACAGTGTGTGTCGCCTCTGTCTGGAAAATGATGAAACTGCAGAGCATATACTTTGTGCCTGCCCCGCTGGGGACCGAATCAGGTTCTTTTAGTTCGGCAGATCCGTACTCTCACCAAATGACCTGAAAGACAACTCACTATACAAACTAATCGGCTTCGTTAAGAAGCTGGGTTCATTTGGTCGAGTATGAATGGGTGTGAGCCACAATAAACCCTTATGGGTTGCGGTGGAGGGTCGAATAGACCCACTCACTTTAGACGTACCTACCTACCTACCTAGTTCATAACTATCAAATATTTCATGATATTGCGCATTCAACTAATCTATATTCTATTTTGATGTCACTAATTTATTTCTTTATCACCTGACATAGTCCACACGCAAACACGTATCTGCGGTTTGTATTTTTGAAGTGATTTGTCTGAAAATATCGGAACATTATACCGAAAGGTTCATTTTTCTCATGGACAACTAAATTTAAATTGTCGAAGTCCAAACGCCGGAATCGACTATAATGCCGTCGCGACGGCCATCGACGCCGATTCATCGCGCAAGCTTGAACTGCTGTAGTGACCAGCCCGGCGTGGAACAACGAAATATCTCTTTGGCACGCATTGGTTTTGTTTACAACAAATTTGCCATCTACCTTCATCACCATCTAGCAGTTATACAGGTGCCGTGAATGTGTGATGACCGACTTTAAGATTCAATTTAACTCTCTCTAAAAAGTGAGGTTTCCAATGCCGCAGCGTTTTCTCCGCATTTTGCCATCGGAAATCGTCGATGCGAAAATTGAGGTTAGTTCTGAATATCTTATCTTATTAATGTAGGTTTGATCTGAGTGTTGGGATGTAAAATCACACTGGAGAGTACTAGGCCTCTATTTTCAATGCTCATGTTTCATGATGAATTTCATTAGTTCGGACTTCCATTGTCTGATATTAAAGAAAACGATTTGAAATCCCTGAAAGAACTAATAAAAAAAGGAAGAATTAAAAATGAATACCTGAAAATAAAAATTATATCAAGCAAAAAATCTGAAATGAAATAATCGTGAAATAAAATACAGGTAAAAAGAGAACAATTGAACAAGAAGTAAGAATAAAAATAAAAACTTAAGAGAATCCAAGCGAAGTTACTTCACTTGACTCATTGGAAATGATACATTGACAGCAATAAACAAAAAAATTCATGAACTTGTCTATTATACATCGATTTCGTACATTAACAAGAAGATCAACGCTTATCCAAAAACTTACTGAATCCCAGTTTTACTCACTGGTAAATGATCATTGAAATTCAAATCATGCATATGGGCATGGGCACCATTAGGTGTTAGTTGAATATATTGAAATTTGTAGTTAACCAGAGTTTGATTCGAATATGTCCTGCAATTTATGAAAAAATTTGAAGCCATTTTTGTAATGACAATTTAGCATGGGAACCGGAAAACCCAAAAAATAAGAATTACAACGGAAATGTTGAATCGTTCACTGTATTTTGATTTTAGGTCATTATGGTCAGAACGCTTTGGTTTTTTGATGATTTTAGATGAAATATTGTATTTTTCAGATGATAACAAATTCAAGAAAATAATAAAGGTAAACCTTATTTTTTCAATTCGATGACGATACCATGACAGAACGTTAAAGCAACTCCATTTATAACAACTACTAAAAAATAATGAATGATGCTGATGGCGATCTTATTCCTTTTTGAAGAGTACAAAGTTGGAATCACAATATTTTTACAAGTAATTGACTTGTAAAATTTATCGAGATAGAAACAACAATGAAATGAAACCGATGGAAGACAACTAGGAACATTATTGAAAACTTGACGTATATAGCAATTGTTTTCCTTGAAGACCTTCAATTTTTATTTGACAAAATGATATACTGTTGTCCGGGTTGAACCGCGTCTTTAATTTTCATCGTTTTGACGTTTCGGCTCCTGCTTTGGAGCCATTCTCAAGAATCACTTAGATTTGTACCTCACATGACTCGAGGACGAGGTTGTAATCTTCCTTGTCCCCAACAGCAACAACGTTAACGACGGCAAACACAAACCCCACCCCACGAGTTACCCGAGGAACAGACCTACCAGACAAAAGCTTTTCTCCCCTACATCCATGGAGTCACTGACAAAGTTAGCCAAATTTTGAAGAAACATAACGTAGACAGTATTCACAGCCAACAACCAAATCTCCACTATGTCAAGAACACCCATGGACCCGATACCCAATGAAGCACAGGGCATATACGAAATACCATGTTCAAACTGCCGCAGAACTTATATCGGCCAGATCAATAGAAGAATTTTCAACAGAGCCTATGAACATGAACTAGCTGTTCGCAAATCAGACCCAGTATCATCTCTCTTCAAACACCACCAGGAAACAGGCCACACAATAAGTTTCGATAACACCAAGACCCTTGCTACGGAGAAAAATCTTCAGGCCAGGATAATTCGGGAAGCAATCGAAATTGAAAAACGCCCCAACTGCCTTAACAAGCGAGATGATTCGCAGAGACTACCACAAAAATTGAGGACATTGATGTCATGCAAGATACCTGAAAATAACTCAGGTACCTGGTCAGGCAAACCAGATACCTGCTACAACAACATAAATATGGGCCCCGAAAAACAGAGTGACCAGTACGAACTTAGAGTGGAACACAGCAAACATAGAACTAGTAACGAGACTTGGGGACAAGGGAAATTACGACCTCGTCCTTGAGTTATGTAAGTACAAATCTAAGTGATTCTTGGGAATGGCTGCAAGGCAGGAGCCGAAACGATGAAAATTACAGACGCGGTTCAACCCGGACAATATACATATATATTTTGGATGATGCAACTAATTTTTCCTTTATTTTCAGTATTTCACTATTATTGTGAGTTACAAAAAGGATTTGAAGCTCTATGACTTCTATTTGATTATCTGCGAGCGCTTTCGACAGCTGGTCGTGCTGTCATCTTTTGGGCACTCTTCTATCTCTAGAAGAGTGCCTAGAAGATGACAGCACGTAGCTATGGATTGAAATTTATCTTTATTTGTTAAATACAAAATTCCATTCCTAAAATTATCAATTCAAAGAGGTATCACTTGACCCCTAATTCTCAAGGTTTGAGGTGAAAGTGACAAGTTTAACATCATGCTCTAAAAATTTCTCTTATCAAAAGCCGAACTCGGCAGAAATGAGACTTCTGCAAATCCGGTTTGGCGAAATACTTAGGATCTTTCAGATCCAGTGGCCTGAGTTTGCAATAATTCATAAGAAGGAAGAGGGTAAATGACGCATGATTGTATGAAAATGTTCTCGCAGTAACAGGAATGAACCTTGCTTCACCCGCATTGCGTTATTAGGAATGATAAATATTCTGAACCTTTCATAAACTTGCTTTATCATTATCATACTTAAATACTTTCAGAAACAGGTTCCAAATAAACTCTGGTTATTCTGCTTTCAATCAAAGTGAAAATTATATCCTGACAGTTATGATATTTGTGCTCACTGTAATATAGTTTCTCATGCATTAAATGAAAATACAATATCTGTAATTATTTGTGTACTCGAATAATTGATAATCTCCATTTCATAAAACTGACAGATAATTTTCATTTATTGTTTACCTGCGAAATGGTTTTTGAAAGGTTACTCAGAGAAGAAATGAACATATTTGAATGAAGAGAAGTGGAAGCTCTTACTTTCGTCCCATCCGTGTCATCAGATTACACACAAGATAAGTCAGTCTCTGAAAAACGAGAGCAGAAGCATTTGCTCCTGTTTAATTCATAAGACAAGATTTGTGTCTAAAATCAAATGGAAACTTATCTGAAAAATGCAATGGAATTCCAGATCATTTGAATAACCCAAATGATGTAAATAACTTTTTCATTAATTCCTCAAGATCTAATCACTTTTTACAAGGAAAACCATCGAGTAGAACCGGATTTTGCTCTTCAGGAAATAAATGAATTATCCATAAATAAAATTATATGTAGCATAAAATCGAATGCTAAAGGTTGTGATGATATAAACATTAAATTAATTAACATGTGTTGTCCCCTTATTGTGCAATATATCACCCACGTAGTGAATTTTTGTTTAACCATAGTGAATTTTCAGCGATGTAGGGGAGAGCAGTGGTGAGTGAGGGTATTGCCCACTTTATCAAAAGTTATTGAACGAGCAGTTGAAGAACAGCTGATAAATCATCTCCCTTGGTTTTCTCTACTTCCGGAAGTACAATCTGGGTTTCGCAAAGGTCATAGTTGCTTGGACGACATTATTAGGGCTACAGATGAGGGTCTCTGCTGTGTACTTGTGCTTCTTCGAGCTTTTGACACTCTTTACTATGATCAACTTTTCGCCATTTTAAACTATATGGGATTATCGGGTAATGCTATCAGACTTCTTGAATGTTACATCAAAAACAGGGAACAAAAAGTGTGCCAGGGTGAAATCTATTCAAACTATCTGAAACTTAAGTCAGGTGTGCCACAGAGTTCAATATTGGGTCCACTATCGTTTACAATTTATTCATCAGACATGTTGCGTAGTCTAGAACACTGTAAATTTCACTGCTGATGACAATCAACTCTATCACAGCTTTCTCCCTCATGGTGTAGAAAACGCATGTACACTCATTGAAAATGATCTCGAGTCATTTTTTGAGTTGGCAAGAGATCACCGTCTAATACTAAATGCCACTAAATCGAATATCATCCTCTTCGGATAAAAAAAGAATCGCCAGAAAACAAGTGAATCTCTTACAATCGCGGTTGATAATGTTCCCTTACAACCCACATGTGAATGCAAAAATTTTGGAGTTATAATCGACTCTGACTTGCGGTTTGAGAAACATATAAACAAACAAATACAACTTGCATATTCTTCGTTGAAACTTATTTATGGACACAGACATGTACTCACGAAACAGACGAAAACAACTCCCTGTGAAGCACTGGTTATATCGCGCTTCAACTACTCGGATACTTTATATGGTCCACGTTTGACCAAACAGTATGCTCAGAAAATACAGAAGGTACAAAACTCGTGTCTACGGCTCATTTACGGAATTAGGAAATATCAAAGAATATCCCATAGGTTAAGGGATACTGGGTGGATCACGATGGAAAATAGACGGATATTAAATGCTGCTAATTAATATAAAAAAATTATACAAACCAAAACGCCGCCTTATATGTACAGGAATATCACTTTTCGTACTGATGTTCACTATCTGAACATCAGATTTAAGGGTACTCGTACCCCACCTAGTTTTAAAATTGAATTTTTCAAGCGATCTTTTAGCTATAATATATGCCAAGTGATCAACCTGTTACCAAAATTAACTTTTAATTCTAAGCAACTTTTCTCTTCAACATATTTCTATATTTTTTGAAATAAGGGTACTTTACTCTTGAACGAACTTTATATTTTTTGGTCTATCCTTTATGGTGTTTGTCATAAAGCCATTTCAGGTACACTTGGTATAGTTTTTGAACATGCACCAACTTTTGTCACGAATAAAATTTTCTGAGAAATCGATAATAAAAAAGTTTCCCATTTGTTGCACACTCAGTGGACCACACTGTATAAAAGTGGTTCAAAATAAAAATAGGTTTGCCATGGAAAACAACTTTAAGTCCCCTAATCTTGCTAAAAATGAATAAAAGTAATTTTAAAAACTACACTGATCTCTACAAACTTTATTTGAAAAATATATCATATGAATTCTTCTAGTTGACCACTAATATTTATATATCACAGGTAACCATAATTGAGAC